AAGCCTGGCTGTGCTGTCTGCAGGTCTAGGATCTCTCCTAGTGTGGGTTTCAGCTCCCTGGCCACATTTCAGAACCTACTTGGCCTGGTGGCCACAGCAATCAGGGTGGCTGTGGGTCTGCCTTATAGCTTGCTAAATCAATTTTGGAGGTTTTTTCTGTGGAGCTGTCTCTCGGTGTGCCCTGGTTTCTCTGATTATGTGCAGGGTAGTACTTAATTTTGTCTGTTTCTTTGTTTTGAGGTGGGGGATCTCACAGTGCTCCCTAGGCTGGCTTTGAACTTGGGGGCTCAAGCACCTCCCATCTCAGCCTCCTCACTAGCTAGGTACTACCACTGTGCCAGCTGGCTCTACTTTGTGAAGTATTCATAGGAATGAACTGCAGGGGCCACATGGGGCATCTTCTTTCAGAGTATCTTGTCCACTTGTGACGTGGTCAGTGTCACCTGGTGAAGACTTTAGGCCACACAGACCACCCGAGCAGGTGCATGTCTGGGTTGCTTTACTCCCTGGATGAAGCCCTTGGGATCTTTTTTAAAGTGGGAGACTCTCTGGTGTTTCAGGCCTGGGGGTCCCAGGTGGTCTGACATCCCTGAAGTCCTTGCTTCCTCATGGTCCAGAGTGAAGCACTGTGTCCGCTGGCCATTGTGTCCAAAGTTGCCACAGGTGTGGACTGCCTATGGCTCGGGGAGCTTCCTGACGACCAGATCCTCTGCCCTGGTGTGGCCTGTCGCCCATGTGTGGGATGCAGGTTCACTCAGCCCAGCTTCTGCGTGACCTGGGAACTCAAGGGGCTCAGCATGGCAGGAAGACATGATCCCTCTGATCCTGTTGGCACCGTGCTGCCCTGCCCTTGGAGTCCCCACCTGTTAGGGGGCTTATGAAACCACCCCTTGTGGCCCTGGAGTAGGGGATGAAAAGGCAAACCAGGTGCCAGACCCCTACAGACTCTATCCCCAGAAGAAAAGCAGTAGATGCTGAAGGCTTAGAGGGCTGGAGCAGAAGCCACACTGGCCTGCAGGGGGGCCTGGGGCTCTCACAGCCCCCCAGGTCAGCTGCCTGGCCACGACACCTGCTCTAGACATAAACCTCTCCAAGTGGGCTGGTGTGTTTTTCGTGTGTTACAGCTATGATGATTCACTTCGAGCTAGAAGGATGCCTTGGCCTGCCTGGACGGGGTGGTCTTGCATTCAAACAGGAAGAAAAAAGCCATGTGGATGTTAAAAATAACAACAAACGACATCCTGCTGCTCCCAGGTACCAGGGAATACTTCCAAAATGCTTTACATGCATGATCTCGTCTGTACTAACAACACTTACGAGACAAGTGCCCCTGTTGTGCCATTTGACATAAAAGGAAACTGAGACATCAATGAATCATGTGACTAACCAGAGTGTGGCCCTCAAGGGGTGGAGTCAGGTCTGGATATAGCAGTGTGGTCCTGCGGCCTTGACCTTTCCCTTTACCCAGGACTCCTTTGGATGTGGAGTTCAGGATGGAGATTTTGTCAAGGGATCCCAGAGGTCTCAGATCCATTCTGGCTTGATCAGTAAGTGTGGGAACTAAAGGGTGCACGTGAGTGTGGCCTGGTGTCCTTCCCTGCCCTGCTGGCCGCACATGCTCACTGAGGTGAGTGTGCTGCATGGTATGGCTGCTTCCTGCCTGGCCTGCTATGCCTTTCAGCTCTCCAACCCCATGTCTGGTGTTCTCCATCCCCCTTCAGATGAACACAAGGACCTGACCACCATCCCACTCCTGGTCGAGCAGCCCAGGAAACGTCACCCATTTGCCATTCAGAAGTCGTCCACACAGCCAGCAGAGGGGGCCATGGCAGCACAGCACCCCAGGTCATCCCACGGTGACCAAGTGTCAGAAAAACATCTCCCCTGTCCTGCTTTCACAGTCTGGGTGCCACGGGCATTCTCATGACCCACACAAACTGTTGTGTGAAGATGCAGCTTGGAGTCAGGTGCTAGTGAGTTCCCAGTCCCATCCTGGGGAACCTGGCCCATCAACCTCCCCCAACTGAGAACAGGCAGAGCAAGTCATTCTGGCAGAATACGAACAGCTACTCTGGACTGGAAAGCCCACAGTGGCGGCTGGACTGGGGTATTAAAACTTAAAGAATGACTGGATCGACGAGCCTGTTGGCTTACCCTTCATCTGCTATCCATGGCTTTGATCCAAAGACAGGGCAGTCTCCACACAGAGAGCAAGGAGAGCCAGCATCCTGAGAGACTTACTCTTTTGCTTTGCATGCTAGAGTTGTGGGTTGTTATGGTTGGGACCTAAAAATGTCCCTCACAGGACTTATATGTCAGATGCAGGAACATTCAGAAGGGACAAGATTAGATGATAACGGAGGCTGTAACCTCGTCAGTGGATCAATCCATTGGATGGATGATTTCTGTGGGTTATTGGATGGTACTGGAGGCAGGTGGGGCATGGCTGAAGGAAGTCACTGGGGGATGTGCCCTTGGGGACTGTATCTGGTTCCGGATCCTCACTTGCTCTCTCTCTTGGTTTCCTGGCTGCCACAAGCTGAGAAACTGTCCTCCATGATGTCCTTCTGCCATGATGTCTGCCTCACCTCAGGCTCAGAGCAACAGAGTTGGCCAACCATGGACTGAGACCACTGAAACCAGGAGCCCAAAATGTTTCCTTCTCTAAGTTTTCCTTGTCCTGTATTTTGGTTACAGCCATGAAACCCTGGGGTGTCAGTTCAGGTGGCATTATGGGCACCCAAAAGGCTTGAAAGCTCCAGCTTTGTGGACAGGAGCCCAGCACAGCCCTGGGGGCCACAGCATGTGTTTGCAGAGCCCTTTCCTCTTCCCCTTCTTTTTTTCTGGCCTCTTTGTCCTGAACAGGACCCTGGTTGTTTGGAACTGCCTTCCAGAGCAGGGAATGAAAACACGGAGAGGCCCTGGCCTTCTGACTGGAGAGCCAGCCTGTGAGCCAAGGGCAAGGCCAACAGCTGGAGGAGGGGCCTGTGCTCAGCACACAGACCCCACCCAAACCTGGGGCTCACTCCTAAGCTGAGCAAACCCCACATATCACAGCAAAAGCTTTGAAGACAGGACTGGCATTGAGCTGAGACCACCAACAATAGAAGGTGGACAAGACTTGCAGTTTGAACCTGACCATGACAAGAGCCAACCAAAACAGAAAGCTCATGTTCTTAGGAGGATTTTAAGAGCCCACATCAGATTATGAATCATAACAAATCAAGATGATCAATCAAAAAGGACTCAGCATCCCATGGTCTGAAAAGATAGGCAAGTCTTTAAAGCAAAGTCCATCAACAATCACCAGAATCACCATGGCCCATACATTGGAAAACACATCACAGATTCTCACCATGCTCCAGAAGAGAAAGAAAACACTCTAGAAATGAGTGAGAAGACAGATGACTCAGCAGAGAAATAGAAAATATGAAGAAACCACACGAAAATGTTTGGAGTGAAAAACATATGCTTAAAATAGAAAATTCACCACTCAGCTCAACAAGAAGGTGGCATTCACAGAAGACAGACTCAGCAAACTAGAAATAGAATATGAAAAATTATCCAACCTGAGACATGTCACAGAAAAAAATTTGAAAATAAAAAAGATACAGTGACCTTGTCTCTGATGTTGTGAAACATCAAGACAACTAACATCTGTGTATTTGAAGTTCTAGAAGAAGAAAATATATGACTAGGGAAAAGGTTTTGAAGAAATAATGGCTGAAAACTTTCTAAATTTGGTGAAGGATACAAATTCCCTGCAATCAAGAACTTTAGCAAATTCCAGATGGGAAAGGCAGAAGGAAACCCCAGGTAGAAAGCTGCCAGACGCTGTGCTCCTGTCCTCTGCAGGAGAAGAGGCAGCACAGGCCCTCCTGCTCCATGTGCTGAGTGCAGGGGAGACTGGGCTCGACCCTCTCCACCCCTGGCTCCCACAGTTGTGGCTCTTTTTTGAACAACTGGATCTGCATATGCTTCCAAGAGCACCATCCCATAGCAGCTGGTGACCACCATGCAACAGTGCTATACACTAGCCTAGATTTGAGATTGCTTATTTTCTTAATCTCTATATTAAAGGCATAAAGTTCTATGGATGAACCTTCAAAATTCTGAAATGAAAAACAAGAGTTCTTGGGGCTGGGGTTGTAGAATGCTTCCTTGCATGTGTGAGGAACTGGGTCCGAACCTCAGCACCATATACAAATAAATAAACAAAATAAACATATTGTGTCCAACTACAACTAGAAAATATTAAAGGGGAAAAAAAAGGGTTCTTGCTCTCATCCTCTCACTGTATGGTGTCCTATGCCATCTCACCACTCCACCAGTAATAAGGATGTAGCCTCTCAACTTGACCTTCAGAAATATGAGCTGAAATAAACTTCTGTTATTTAATAATAGTAAAAAAACAAACAAACATGAAACTTCTCCATACATAAATATTCCCTTGCAAATTATACTCCTGGGAATGCACCAGTTCCAAGCAGGTCACTAGTTGTACTTTGGTGGAACCAGCAAGCTGGGCTGAGAGATCAAGGTAAGTTGGTGTCCACTGTCTACCACAATGAGAAGGAAAGACGATGCACCAGGACCTCCACCAACCACAGACACTTATCTGAGATGTTACAGGATGGGAATGACATCAAGCAAAACATCCAGATGATTGAAAGCAGTGTAGAGGAGTAACACACAGACTAGAGCAAATCAGCAAGAGCACTTCAGTGTGTACACAGAGAGCCAAAAAATCCTCACCTCCATTCTACCTGAAGCAGCTAAAGGAGGGAGGATTACAAACAAAGAGTCAGGCAACTAAAAAACACTGAAGGGCACAAGGGAATAAATGAGAAATTGTCAGAAATAATGCCAAAAAAATCAGAAAAGAGACCGCAAAGCAAATGAATGGACACAAAATCAGAAAACAAAGAAGGCATAAACACAAAGGAAAAAAGACTGGCCAGGAAAAGGACGTCAACTTAAAAAAAAATGGAACAATCAGAGGCAAAACTAAACAATTACTTTAAGTCGCAAGAAACATTCAGAAAGGGACAAAAACAAATCTATTAAACATCAATTAGATACAAGAAGAAACAAGAGACCAGTTTCAGGGTCCACAGTGGCCCGTTCCAGCAGCTGCATGTAGGTGAGGTTCTCGTGGGTGTTGGGGTCGAAGAAGCCCTTGGTGTCGTCGCTCGGGTCCGCCAGCACGCGGCTCATCTCCTCGTCAAAGTAGCCGCGCTGGTAGGCCACCTCCACGGGCACGCGGTGGCTGTGCACGGGGTCGATGACGCCGCCCGTGGCGATCTGGGCCTCCAGCAGGCGGATGCCGTGGTCCCTGACGATGAGGTCGCGCTGCATGGCCTGGAAGAGCGAGATCTGCTCCCCGGAGTAGGGGTCGGTGTAGCCGGTGACGGCGCGCTCGGCGGACAGCAGCTTCTCCCGGATCTCGCCGCCCACCACGCCGGCGGCCACGGCCTCCTCCACAGACAGCCTCCGGTCGTGCACCGGGTCGATGACGAAGCCGGTGGCCGCCTGCGCCTCCAGCAGCACCAGGGCCGTGCCGGGCCGCAGCACGCCCTTCCACATGGCCTCGTAGATGCTCATCTTCTCCTGGCGGCCCGGCTCGCCCCTGGCCGGCACCAGCACGCCGGCGATGCAGCTAGTGCCCTCCAGGTAGCGCTTGACGGAGTCCATCTCCGTCACCTCCTGCAGGGTCTTGGTGCCCTGGGCCAGGTCCCGCAGGGTCTCGGGGCCCAGGATCCCGGACGTGTGCAGCTCGGCGGCGGACACCTGGCGCCTCAGGCCTCGGAAGGACACCTTGCTGAGCCGCTCCTCGGTCTCCTCCACCACCCGCAGGAGGATGGCCACCAGGTCAGCCAGCCCCAGGGTGCCTGCCGCGTGCTGGGCCAGGAGCTCCTCTCGCCGGGCCTCTTCCAGGTAGGAGGAGAAGAGAACATCCCACACGGACACCGGCTGGCCCCGGAACCGCCCGGAGCGCACCTCCATGGTGGCGGCGCGCAAGGCCTGCTCCTGCTCCTGGAGGCGGCGGCGGCCGGTGGCCTCGGCCTGGGCCTCTTCGTCCTCGCCTCGGGAGGGCCCTGGCCGCCCCGGCTCCGGCTGGCGAGGCGAGGTCTCCCCGGGCTGGGGCGGGTCCCCGTGGGCCTCCTCCGCCTCCTCGATGATGGTGGTCAGCCTGCGCGTCAGCGCGGGCAGGGCCAGAGACCCCGAGCCAAACTGGGCCAGCAGCTCCTCGCGGATGGCCCCGCTCACGTAGCCAGACGTCAGCACGTCCCACACGGGCACCGCGCGCCCCCGCAGGCGCCCCACCTTGACCTCCATGGTGGCCGCACGCAGGGCCCCCCGAGGGTCGGCGCGCGGGCTGCGGTCCTCGGCCTCGGCCAGCAGCGAGGACAGGGCCGAGCCCACGTCCTGCGCACTCAGCGTGCCCGCCCGGTACCGGCGCAGCAGGTCCTGGCGCCGGCGCTCTGGCACCTCGCGGTAGAAGAGGAGCTCCCAGACCGAGACGCTCTGGCCCTGGAAGGCGCCCCAGCGGGGCGTCACGCGGGCGTCGCGCAGGGCCCCGCGCAGCTCCTCGCTCAGCTGGTGCACTGCGGAGTCCTGGCCCGCCAGCTGCAGCATGTAGAGCCCGGTGTCGGGGTCGCGCACGCAGCGCCGCAGCAGCTGCATGTAGGTGAGGTTCTCGTGGGTGTTGGGGTCGAAGAAGCCCTTGGTGTCGTCGCTCGGGTCCGCCAGCACGCGGCTCATCTCCTCGTCAAAGTAGCCGCGCTGGTAGGCCACCTCCACGGGCACGCGGTGGCTGTGCACGGGGTCGATGACGCCGCCCGTGGCGATCTGGGCCTCCAGCAGGCGGATGCCGTGGTCCCTGACGATGAGGTCGCGCTGCATGGCCTGGAAGAGCGAGATCTGCTCCCCGGAGTAGGGGTCGGTGTAGCCGGTGACGGCGCGCTCGGCGGACAGCAGCTTCTCCCGGATCTCGCCGCCCACCACGCCGGCGGCCACGGCCTCCTCCACAGACAGCCTCCGGTCGTGCACCGGGTCGATGACGAAGCCGGTGGCCGCCTGCGCCTCCAGCAGCACCAGGGCCGTGCCGGGCCGCAGCACGCCCTTCCACATGGCCTCGTAGATGCTCATCTTCTCCTGGCGGCCCGGCTCGCCCCTGGCCGGCACCAGCACGCCGGCGATGCAGCTAGTGCCCTCCAGGTAGCGCTTGACGGAGTCCATCTCCGTCACCTCCTGCAGGGTCTTGGTGCCCTGGGCCAGGTCCCGCAGGGTCTCGGGGCCCAGGATCCCGGACGTGTGCAGCTCGGCGGCGGACACCTGGCGCCTCAGGCCTCGGAAGGACACCTTGCTGAGCCGCTCCTCGGTCTCCTCCACCACCCGCAGGAGGATGGCCACCAGGTCAGCCAGCCCCAGGGTGCCTGCCGCGTGCTGGGCCAGGAGCTCCTCTCGCCGGGCCTCTTCCAGGTAGGAGGAGAAGAGAACATCCCACACGGACACCGGCTGGCCCCGGAACCGCCCGGAGCGCACCTCCATGGTGGCGGCGCGCAAGGCCTGCTCCTGCTCCTGGAGGCGGCGGCGGCCGGTGGCCTCGGCCTGGGCCTCTTCGTCCTCGCCTCGGGAGGGCCCTGGCCGCCCCGGCTCCGGCTGGCGAGGCGAGGTCTCCCCGGGCTGGGGCGGGTCCCCGTGGGCCTCCTCCGCCTCCTCGATGATGGTGGTCAGCCTGCGCGTCAGCGCGGGCAGGGCCAGAGACCCCGAGCCAAACTGGGCCAGCAGCTCCTCGCGGATGGCCCCGCTCACGTAGCCAGACGTCAGCACGTCCCACACGGGCACCGCGCGCCCCCGCAGGCGCCCCACCTTGACCTCCATGGTGGCCGCACGCAGGGCCCCCCGAGGGTCGGCGCGCGGGCTGCGGTCCTCGGCCTCGGCCAGCAGCGAGGACAGGGCCGAGCCCACGTCCTGCGCACTCAGCGTGCCCGCCCGGTACCGGCGCAGCAGGTCCTGGCGCCGGCGCTCTGGCACCTCGCGGTAGAAGAGGAGCTCCCAGACCGAGACGCTCTGGCCCTGGAAGGCGCCCCAGCGGGGCGTCACGCGGGCGTCGCGCAGGGCCCCGCGCAGCTCCTCGCTCAGCTGGTGCACTGCGGAGTCCTGGCCCGCCAGCTGCAGCATGTAGAGCCCGGTGTCGGGGTCGCGCACGCAGCGCCGCAGCAGCTGCATGTAGGTGAGGTTCTCGTGGGTGTTGGGGTCGAAGAAGCCCTTGGTGTCGTCGCTCGGGTCCGCCAGCACGCGGCTCATCTCCTCGTCAAAGTAGCCGCGCTGGTAGGCCACCTCCACGGGCACGCGGTGGCTGTGCACGGGGTCGATGACGCCGCCCGTGGCGATCTGGGCCTCCAGCAGGCGGATGCCGTGGTCCCTGACGATGAGGTCGCGCTGCATGGCCTGGAAGAGCGAGATCTGCTCCCCGGAGTAGGGGTCGGTGTAGCCGGTGACGGCGCGCTCGGCGGACAGCAGCTTCTCCCGGATCTCGCCGCCCACCACGCCGGCGGCCACGGCCTCCTCCACAGACAGCCTCCGGTCGTGCACCGGGTCGATGACGAAGCCGGTGGCCGCCTGCGCCTCCAGCAGCACCAGGGCCGTGCCGGGCCGCAGCACGCCCTTCCACATGGCCTCGTAGATGCTCATCTTCTCCTGGCGGCCCGGCTCGCCCCTGGCCGGCACCAGCACGCCGGCGATGCAGCTAGTGCCCTCCAGGTAGCGCTGGACATCCTCCCCGGCTTGTACCTGCTGCACTGTCCGTCGGCCCTCTTCCAGATCCTCCAGTGTCTCTCTGTTTATGATACCTGAGCTGTGCAGCTCGGCTGCTGTGATCTGCTTTCGGAAACCCCTGAACCACATTGGTCTGCTCTTCTTTTCTTTTTCTGCAATTATCTGCAGAATTTTTTGTACCACTCTCTCCAGGGCTCCTGCAGTGTCCCGGCGGTAGGCCTTGACCAGCTCCAACTTCTTCTCCCGCGTCACATACTCTGAGTTCAGGAGCTCCCATACTGATGGCCGCTGGCCTCTGTACCTTCCAACTGTTATTTCTACCTGCTGGGCTTCCAGTGCCCTTTTGGTGGCCTCATCCACATACTCTGAGTCCTTTGTGTCCTTGACCACTGGGAATAGGGTCCATGCTGACCTTTCGTCCCTCTTGCACCTGTCCTGCAGCTCTTGGTATGTGACCTTCTCCTGCGTGTTGGGGTCCAGGAACCTTCTCCTCATGTGCTTCTGATCCAAGATGAGCATTTTCGTTTCCTCATCTAGGCAGCCCCGCCTGCAGGCCATGTCCAGGGGGATTCGGTGGTGGTGCTGTGGGTCCACAATGCCCCCTGTGGCCACCTGCACCTCCAGCAGCCTTAGTGCCTCCTCCCTTCCGACCAACTTCTTTTTCATGGCCTGGAACAGTGGTATGGTCTCCCCTGTGGCTGGGTCTCTGTGGCCCTTGGCGGCTTTCTCAGCCATGTGCAGCCGTTCCCGAAGCTCCTCATCCACCAGGCCAGCTGCCAGGGCCTCGTCCACTGGCACCTTCTGATGAGTGCGAGGGTCCAACATGAACCCAGTGGCTGCCTGTGCCTCCAGCATCTGGGCTGCGAACCCTGCAGGGATGTGCTCCTTCCTGCAGGCCTCGTTGAAGCCCATGACCTCCTGGGTGGAGGGTACAGTCACCCCAGCAATGCAGCCACTGCCCTCCAGGCACACACGGACGCACTCCAGCTGCCGCAGGTCCTGGTGTCCCCTGTCCTCCTTGTGAAGTGCATCCAGGGTCTCCTTATCGATGACCCCAGAGTTGAACAGTTCTGCGGCCGTCGTGTGCCCGTGGATGGCTGCCAATCTGATGTCTTGGTTTTGCTCCTCTGTTTCTTTGATGGTGGTTCTGATGACCTCCACCAGTTCCTCTAGTCCCACCTTCTGCTCTCTGTACTCCCACACAAGCTCTCTTTTCCGTTTCTCGCTGAAGTACTGCGAGGAGAGCAGGTCCCAGACAGACACAGTCCGACCGGCAAACCTCCCCAAGTGCATGTTCACAGTTGTGGATCGCAGAGCTTGCTTTGTGGCCTCGTCCATGTACGCATAGGGTTCTCCTTTCTTTACGATTTGCAACAGGTACAGGCCCGTCTCAGGGTCCTCCACACAGCGCTCCAGCAGCTGCAGGTAGGTGAGGTTCTCGTGGGTGTTGGGGTCGAAGAAGCCCTTGGTGTCGTCGCTCGGGTCCGCCAGCACGCGGCTCATCTCCTCGTCAAAGTAGCCGCGCTGGTAGGCCACCTCCACGGGCACGCGGTGGCTGTGCACGGGGTCGATGACGCCACCCGTGGCGATCTGGGCCTCCAGCAGGCGGATGCCGTGGTCCCTGACGATGAGGTCGCGCTGCATGGCCTGGAAGAGCGAGATCTGCTCCCCGGAGTAGGGGTCGGTGTAGCCGGTGACGGCGCGCTCGGCGGACAACAGCTTCCCGTAAGTTTCCCTGCCAAACATGCCTGCCTGGAACGCCTGTTCCACGGTCAGCTTCTGATTCTTCACCGGGTCGATGATGAAGCCGGTGGCCGCCTGCGCCTCCAGCAGCACCAGGGCCGTGCCGGGCCGCAGGATGTGCCTTCTCAGGGCCTCTGGGATGCTCATCTTCTCCTTGGTGCCCTGGATGAGGACTCCGGCAATGAAGTTGCCTCCTTCCAGAGACCGCCTCACACTGGCCATCTCTGTCACCTCCTGCACCGTCTTCTTCCCCTGGGTCAGGTCATCTAGCGTCTGCTTGTTGATCAGCTGAGACCTGAACAGGTCCCTGGCTGACACCTGCTTCCGGAGCCCTCTAAAGGTGGCCTGTGGGGACTGCTTCTCTGCAGTCTCCACTAGGGCAGTGACCGCACTGACCACCTGCCGCAGGGCTGTGGCTCGCCCAGACCGGCAGAGTGCTGCCAGCTCCCGCCTCTTGTCAGCACTGATGTACTCGGAGTGTAGCAGGTCCCAGAGTGACACGATGCGCCCTTGGAACCTCCCCATACTGACAGGCACCTTCATGGCCCTCAGAGCCACTGCAGTGTGCTCATCCACCTCAAGCACAGCGTCCTGAGTGAGTGGCAGCAGCCACAAGCCGGTATCAGCATCCAGCACACAGAGCTCCTTGAGCTGCCCATATGTCACCCTGACCCGGGAATTAGGGTCAAAGAAGAACTTGTTGTCCTCCTTGGTGGTGGTCAGTGCCCAGCTCGTCTGCTCGTCCAGGAGGCCAAGCCTGCAGGCCACTGCCTGAGGCAGGTGCACCCCATGAACAGGGTCTAATATGCCCCCCGTGGCCAGCTGTACCTGCAGGAGGGGGAGGCCCTCGCTCTCGGGCTCAAGCCCCTTCTCGATGGCCTGCCACAGAGAGAGGGTTCCCCCTGAGTAGGGGTCTGTGTACCCGGGCACAGTCCTCTCGACCTGGCTGAGGTGCTCACTCAGCTCGCTGCCTACCAGGCCGGCCTTCACTGCATCCTCCACTGACAGTCTCTGGTTGGTCAGTGGGTCAACAAGGGAGCCAGATGCCACCTGGGCCTCCAGCAGTCTCTGTCCCAGGCCTATGGGCAGGAGGCCATCCCTCATGGCCTGGGCGAGGCTCACTTTAGTCCCAGAGGGCTGCAGCAGCACCCCAGCCACGCAGCCCGTGCCCCAGAGGTGGGTCCTCACTGCTGGCTGCTCTGCCACCTCAGAGGGCGACTTTGTGCCCTGAGCCAGTGCGGCCAGCGCCTCCTGGGTGATGATGCCAGCGTCCCGCAGCCAGACGGCAGGAACCTCACCACGGGGACCTGGCACTGTCACGCGGGCCTGGGCCAGGAGCTCTGCCCCCTGTACACAGCTGCACACGGTGGCCTGCAGCTGTGGCACGGAGACCTTCCCAACCCGCACGCCCTCCAGGAGGCCTCTGCGCTGCTCCTCAGTGAAGTGGCAGGAGGTGAGCAGGTCCCAGAGGGACTTGCCGTCCTCACCCCCTGGTGTGCCCTGCAGGATGTCCTGGAGCTGAGTGTCAGTGGGAACGGCAGGAGCATCTTCTGCCAGAGGCAGGAGATGGAGGCCAGAGGCCTTGTCCCGGGGGCACTTCTCCAGCAACTGGGCATAGCTGGTGAAGCCCTGGCCGTCTGGAGTGGGGAAGGTCTTGGGAGAGCCGGACAAGGCCATGTCCATCTCTTGGTCTATGAAGCCCCGCTGGATGGCCACAGGCAAGGGGAGGTGGTGGTGGCCTGTGGGATCAATGGCCCCTCCCGTTGACACCTGGGCCTCCAGCAGCCGGGCAGCCTGCTCCATTGGGATCAGGCCCTTCTTCATGGCCTGGAACAGGGAGATTCTCTTCCCAGAGAAGGGGTCTCTGAAGCCAGTGACGGCACCCTCGGCCCACCGCAGCCTGCTGCACACCTCTGGCCCCACCACGCCCCGGCGCACAGCCTCGTCCACGGACAGTATCTCCAGACTGCTAGGGTCTGTGATGGCCCCAGTGGCTGCCTGGGCCTCCAGCAGGGTCAGGGCCACGCCAGGCGCCAGCAGCTTCTGCTTCATGGCCTGATAAAGGCTGAGCCTCTGTTGGGAGGGCTGCAGCAGCACCCCAGCCACTGAGCCCGAGCCCTGCAGGTACCTGTGGACGCTGGCCATGTGGAAGAGGGCGTCAGGGCTGACTGCCCCTGCCAGAACTTGTTCCAGGAGGTCCTGGTCGATGATCTGAGCCTCCAGGAGCTGGCCGATGGTGACCCGGCCCCGCAGTGCTGGTAGTGTGATGTCTGCCCACCTCCCTGACTCTCTGTGCAGCAGCTGCGTGACCTGCTCCAGTGTGACCTTGCGCTGTCCATAGCGCTGCAGCAGCTGCCTCCTCCGGGTCTCACTGAAGTACTCGGAGTTGATTAGGTCCCAGGCTGAGACCCTCTGTCCCCGGAACCTTCCACACTGCACAGGAAGCACCAGGTTCTGTAAGTCCTGCCGGGAGCTGCCGTCCACCAGCTGAGGCCGTGTGCTGCTAAGTGGCAGGAGGCGCAGGCCCGTCTCGGGGTCCTCCACACAGCGCTCCAGCAGCTGCATGTAGGTGAGGTTCTCGTGGGTGTTGGGGTCGAAGAAGCCCTTGGTGTCGTCAGAGGGGTCCAACAGGATCAAGTTCAGCATCTGATCGAAGTAGCCGCGCTGGTAGGCCACCTCCACGGGCACGCGGTGGCTGTGCACGGGGTCGATGACGCCGCCCGTGGCGATCTGGGCCTCCAGCAGGCGGATGCCGTGGTCCCTGACGATGAGGTCACGCTGCATGGCCTGGAAGAGCGAGATCCGCTCCCCGGAGTAGGGGTCGGTGTAGCCGGTGACGGCGCGCTCGGCCGACAGCAGCTTCATGTACACATCAGGCCCGATGACACCAGCTCTCAGTGCCTCTTCCACGGAGTGCCTTCTGTTTTCTTTGGGGTCGATGACGAAGCCGGTGGCAGCCTGGGCCTCCAGGAGGATGAGTGCAGTGCCGGGCCTGAGAAGTCCCTTCCTGCGGGCCTCGTGGATGCTGAGGCGCTCCTGGGAAGCGGGCAGAAGCAGGCCAGCGATGCAGCCCGTGCCCTGCAGGTACCTCCGCACAGAGGCCAAGCTGCCCACGTGCTGGGCCGAGGTCTGCCCGTGTTCCAGCTGCTCATATAGCTTCTGGTCGATGATCTCTGCTTTCAGCAGCTCTCCTGGAGTCACAGTGTCCCTCAGTCCAACAAAGGTGACCCTGGCTGTGGCTTCAGCCTGCTCAATGGTGGCCTTCAGCTCTGCTGCCAGCTCTTCTACTGAGAGGGTCCCTTCCTGGTGCTGCTGGGCCAGCCTTGACCTCTGTTCCACAGAGACGGCCTCAGAGAAGAGCAGCTCCCAGAGGGACACGGGCCGGCCCTGGAACTTCCCCACAGAGACGGAGGTCATGGCTGCACTCAAGGCCTCCTGAGTGTGGTGGCCAATGAATGAGGGTCCCTGGGGCACCTCTCTACGGGGTCCCCCGGGGAGAGGTAGGAAGGCAAGCCCCGTCTCTGGGTCGGTGACACAGAGGGCCAGCAGCTGCCCGTAAGACAGGTTGCTGTGTGTGCTGGGGTCTGAGAAGCCCGTGGCCTGGGAGAGGTGCTGCCAAGTCTCTTCATCCAGGCAGCCAAAACGCAGGGCAGCCTCCAGAGGTAGCCGGAACCTACGGGTCGGGCAGACCAGTCCACCCGTGGCCAGCTGGGCATCCAGGAGGCGCAGGGCCAGCGACCTGTCCACCAAGTCCTTCTTCATGGCCTGGAAGAGGGGGATGCGGGAGCTGCTAAAGGGGTCATGGTACCCAGTCATCGCCTGCTCTGCCACCAGCAGCTGCTCATAAAGTTCTGGGCCAACCAGGCCTACCCTGACCGCCTCGTCCACATACAGCTTCCGGCCCGTCGCCAGGTCCACCAGGGTGTGGGTGGCAGCCTGAGCTTCCAGGAGCGGGAGTACAGCACCCATTGGGACCAGGTGCTCAGCTGCAGCCTGGAAGAAGCCCTTCTTGTGGCCTTCGGGCAGCAGGACGACCCCTGCCACACCGCCAGTGCCCTCCAGGTGGCGCCTCACCTCAGGGCGAGCACTCACACCTGGCTCTGTCAGTGTGCCCTCCTGCAGGCCTTGGACTGTCTCTTCATCCAGGACCCCTGCCTCCTGCAGCTCAGCCACACTGGCCGCCCCACACAGGGTATGGAAGGTGGTCTTGAGTGGCAGCAGGGCCAGCCCTGAGCCAGGGTCCTGCACACACCGGCCCAGAAGGGCGGAGTACGGCAGCGGCTCCAGTGTGTTGGGGTCAAGGAAACCTGGAGTGTCCATGCTGGGCTCCTGCTCATCCAGACTGAGCCACGTCTCCTGGTCCAGGAGGCCCTTCTGGCAGGCTAGTGCTGGGGCAACTCGCATGCCCTGGACGGGGTCCACCAGGCCCCCAGTGGCCAGCTGGGCCTCCAGCCAGCGGCATCCCAGGGTCCTGTTGACAACTTCCTTCCTGAGGGCCTGGAAGAGGGCCAGCTTCTCACCCCCATAGGGGTCAGGATAGCCAGTGACCGCGCGCTCAGCAGCCAGCAGCTTTTCCTTCAGCTCCAGCCCTACCAGGCCCTGCCGCAGGGCCTCAGACACGGGCAGCAGCTGGCCCTGGGCGGGGTCCACCAGGCCCCCAGTGGCTGCTTGGGCCTCCAGCAGAGCCAACCCCAGCCCTGCGGGCAGCAGGCTCCGCTTCATGGCAGCGTAGACACTCAGCGTCTGCCCCGAGGCCTCCACACGCACCCCCGCAATGCTCCTGGCTCTGGAGGGTGCGGCTGCCTCTGCCTGGGGCTTGGAGGGGGCACTGGCTCCCAGCCCAGCCTCCATGTTTTTGGGGATGAAGGCCTGCTCAGCACCGTTGGTGAACAGGGTATCAAGAGGAGGAGTGACCTGGCCATTCATTGCAAACAGCTGGTCTTGCAGAACCCAGTTGAGGTCACACGTGTCCTGCGGTCACAGAAAGATACAGTCAGAGATGAGCCTCTGGGCAGGCAGGGGAGGCAAGGTCATAAGGTCAATCCCAGACCCTTCCCAAGCTGGTGAGCCCTGGATCTACCTCCAGAGACATGGCTGGAGCAGCCCCGGGCAGCCTCATCTTGGTAGCAGAGGGCCCGGGTGCAGCTCACTCTCTTGGGGTGTGAGCATTCGCAGTCACCATAGGGGAAGGGCCCTCCCTTACCCTGCAGGATCCCCAAGGCAGAGCGGAAGAAGCTTCCCAGCATGCTAAGAAGAGCAGTGGACTGTAAAGGCATGGACCAGGGTTTGGCTACCAGGCCACCTCCCAGGGTCTGAGGGCTCTGTTTTCTCCTGCGGGTTGTCCCTTGGTGTCCACCACAGCTCTAGGCCCAGGGTGGGGAGCTTGGAGCCCTCCCAGACCCTAACTCTGCTATGGCTCTGCTGCACCTACCCCCTGCTCCAAGGTCCCTGGATCCAACAGACACATGCCGGTCCTTCACCCCTGCTGGGCTGGGTCATCTGGCTCCAGGCCCCAGGACTGTACCAACTACCTCTGCCTGGACCTGTCCCTTTCTAAGCTGCGTTGAATTGATCACCCGGAAAGATATGTCAAAATCCTAAGCCACATACCTGTGAATGTGACCTTATTTGGAAACAGGATCTCTATGAGGTAATTTAAGATGAGATCACACTGGAAAAGGGCTGGCCCCCATCCCGAATACCTGGTGTCCTTAAAAGAACAAACACCACAGTCTGCACTGTGAGAGTCTGGAGCCACCAGGAGCTGGGAGAGGCAGAAAGGGTCTTCCCCTAGAGCCTGTGGAGGGACACAGCCCTGCCCACAGCCTGACCTAGGGTCCCAGTCTGTGTCACCGTCTGCTGGTGGGCCCACACCATGGCCCACACCTTCGTTCCCCACCTCCATGAGCCAGGCCAGCTTCTGTGTCCTCAGAACCATGCCTAGTCCCTCTCTTGGTCCACACCCTTGGCAGAGGAAAGTGTCCCTCTGCTCAGAGGGACATCCAGGCCATCCACGGGCCTTGCCTCCCTCTGCACATGTCTGGGGGAAGGCACCTCTGCCTGCCCTCACACCCAGGGCACAGCCCTTGCTGACAGCATGCATTCCACTGCCAATCTCAACAGGTACTTTGGACCTGACAGGTACACAGGGACTCTGCCCCCCCCCCACCCCCGTAGTGATGGATTCTGCTCCATCTCCTTGTACCCATGAAATCAGAGAGCTGCTCAACCTGCCCTCAGATCCTAAGAGCTGCAGCTTGGTCCTGCCTGCCCTGGAGTCCAGATGCACATGTCCATCCACCCTGCACACTGTCACTTAGTGGTCTTGGTCCTCCCTATAGCTGGTCCTATAGGAGGCACTGCTCCATGCTGGCCCACCTCATGCCTGCTGCCCACCTGTGTCCTCCAGGCTCTGCGGCAGCACCCCATGGCTCCTCCATCCCCTGGAGGCCTACCTCCCTGCTCCTGTGTCTCCGGAGCTCTCCCTCACTGTCCTCAGTCGCCTTCACAGCCCCCCTACCCTCCAAACACCCACATCATTCTGGGAATGTGTGGGGTGGGCAGGTGAGCCCGAGGGGACAGACACCAATGCAGAATCCATCCTGTCCATAAGCTAGGGCTTTGGTGTCACATGACCTGTTGGGTGGACAGATGCTGCCCAGCACAGGGAGGGCTTTGGGAAGACAGCCACTACTAGCCCCTTCAAGAATTGCACTGCCTGAGGTCACTTCCTTACTGGGGCAGCCAATGATGGGCTCAGCCCCTTGATGACCCTGAGAGCCATCAAGTCTTCTAGTGAGACTGCCCCCAGTCCACCACCTTGGCCAAGTCCTACTCCTCCCTTCCCTCCCACAGATGCTGCTCCTGAGTCCTCTGGGGTGTTCTGCTCAGAACCTTAGACATTGATGCCAGGACCAGGCCGACCCCTCGGTGAGGCCATCTGTGTCTGCCACCGCCTGGCCGGAGGGTCCAGTGGAGCCCAGGGGGGAGAAAGCAGCCCAGCCTTAGGCTCTCCTGGGGGCGCACTTATGTAGGGCAGGAGAGAGGGTGTGGAGGACACAGGCCAGTGGAGTGGGGGCTGCAGCCAAGCAACGGAGCTCTGGGCAAAGATCCCAGGAGGCTGGGCTAGCCTGCTGGACTGCCGTGGGGTTCCTAGGGCAGAGCAGGCCCAGGCAGCTCCACTGGGAGGGGCCAAGTCCTCTCACCAAGGGGAGAACCCAACTCTTGGAATGGGACATCTGGGTCAATTTAACCCCAAATATCAAATCCCCAGATTCCCCAAAATGTGCATCCTAGGGGCCAGCACTTTCCTCCTAGCCTCCCGCTCACGGCAGCCCAGCACGGGCTGAGAAGCCAGGGCCCCCAGAGGGGCTACAGGGCTTAGAGAAGGGCTCTCCCAGGATTTGGGACAGAAGGCCCCTGGACCATGTGAACCTGCTGCTGGGACAACTTCTAGAGCCTACAGAAGGCACCACCCCCCAGAGCGAGGCAGGGCAGGCGTGGGCAGCAAGGGCTCCACGCTGACTGACCGCAGGGCCCTGAGGTGCTATCGGGAAGGAAGTGACCCCCAGGCACAGAGCCCCTAGTGCTATGCTCACCAGGGGAAGCCTGGGGAGGGGCAGCCCCAGCCTGGATGCTGTATCAGCAGAGGAGGCAGAGGGCAGGGGGGGGGGCACAAGCCCTTGTGAAGGACAGGCAGGAGTCGGTGCTTGGGGACCAAGCAGCTCTGGGCCCCCAGCCTGAAGCAGACCCCTGGGCGGAGCTGGGCAGGCCCAGGAGGAAGAACCTGCAAGAACAGCCCAGCCCTCCTGCAGGGAGCCCAGCTGCTCACTTCGGGACTGCTCTGGAGAGTGACTTTGGCCCTATAGGATGCCACATCTCAGGGGCAGAGAGTCACTGGGCTCTCTGTGTAGTGGACATCTGTTGGCTCAGGCGGGCAATGGAACCACTCTGTGGTACGTCCCTGGTTTCTACATGTCCTTTGGGGGGACACACTCAGGAGTTCTTTGGCCTTGAAGGATGAGCTGTCCTGTAGGGAAGGCCAAGAAGAGGGCAGTGGAACTGGTCACAGGGCCCTGGGCACCTGGCAGTGGCCCAGTCAGGAGCGCTGCCTTGCAGTGGTGGCAGGACAGCTGCTGAAGCACAGCTGGGACGCCAGCTCCCAGTGGCCCTGTGGCTCGTGCCATCCCAAGGAGGCAGGACTGTGCTCTAAGCTGTGGGTTTCCCGCGGCACCACAGCCAGGAGCCAAGGCCTGGGAGCAGCAGTGGCCCACGCCCTCTCTGCAGCCCGTGCCTGTGGGACAGCACAGCAGGCCAGCCTCTCCCTCTGCCAGCCCTCTCCTTCCCTGCCTCCCTCAAGACCTCTGTCTCAGACTGCTACCTGCATAGGCTGCCACACTGGGCCTGTCCAGCCCAGCCCAGGGCAGGGCAGAGCACAGAGGAGAGGGTCATGGGGTTAGGGCCATGTACCTGTCCCCTGACTCCTGGCTGGGATACAGAAGAAGCAGTTCTCCACCCCAAGGTGGAGCCCAGGGGTTGGGGCCACAGCACGGGCAGGGGTGGTAAGGTGGCCTGGACTTGGTTAGCCCTTGTCCTGGACCCAGACAGCCAGACCAGAGGCTGCACCTGGACAGAAACCAGAAAGAGCTGACAGAAGCCCAGAGAGGCCCACGTTTCCTGAAGAGAGGAGGAGCTGCTAGAATGGGCTGGGCAGGGAGGCTGTGAGCCCGCTCAGTGTGCGCACTGTGCTGTGGCTGGTTGGGCCACTCCCTGCTGGCTTGTGGGTGACCTTGGGTCTGGTATGAGTCTCCAAAGCCCTGCCCTTTCCAGGAGGAAGGCACAGAGTGGGTGCCTGGGAGGGGCAGAGCAGAGAGTCTGGAAGGCGGGAGAGAGACAGACTAGGGCGCCCCAGGGGTCCTGGGAGGAGGCCCAGTCAAGCCCAGCGCTGGGAAAGCAAAATGCCAGCCTTCCAGAGTAGGGCACCAGTAGGAGCAAGCTGTGTAGGAGGCGAAAAAGCCAGTGGTCTTTGGGGCAGGGAAGGTGGGGGGAGAGGTGGTGGAGGTGGAGCAAATCCCCCCCCCCCAGGCAACCCAGCAGCCAGGGGAGGGAAGGGCGGTTCCTAAGAAGGGCCACCATCTGTCTCACACTGAAGAGTAGGACCCCCCACTCCAGCCCAAGACCAGGGTGTCCCCTTGAGCCAGGTCAGAACAGAAGAAGGACTCAGCCCACACGTGGAGGCAGAGAGTCTGGCCTTTTCCCTATTGTGGGGCTGATGGGAGGTCACCGCCCGTCTGCACCCTGTCAAGACAGACAGAAATCAACGGCCCTGATAGGAGCTGGGCATGATGGACAGGTGGAGGTGGGGAGGCAAGGCCCTTCCTGCCTCTGCCTGGTATCACCAGAGTGACCATCCCTGGATAGCTAAACCTAGACAGCAGTTGGCCTTTCGGTGAGTCAGCCCCACCTGTCTCCCCCCAGCAGATGTAGGAGCCAGCTCCGCTTCAATGCATCAGCCTGATGGCCTGGTGCCCGTGGGTCTAGGCCTGCTCTGCTGCTGACACCTCCCGCAAGGAGGGCTTGGGGCGGCCGGGGATGTGGCTCAAGCGGTAGCGCGCTCGCCTGGCATGCGCGCGGCCCAGGTTCGATCCTCAGCACCACATACCAACAAAGATGTTGTGTCCGCCGAAAACTAAAAAATAAATATATTTTTTTTTTTTTAAAAAGGAGGGCTTGGGAACCCGACCTTCAGTGACTGTCCAGAACCGCTGGGCAGGGCGACTCCCTCCCTGTGGCAGGGCCGAACTGGGGCCTCGGGGTCCCCATCTCTGCAGGGGGGCTCAGGGACCCCCACTTCGGACCCAGAATTCTGCCTGCCCAGGGCTGGAAACTGGAGGGCAGAGCCCAGAACTCCGGGCCAGCTGCGCCAGTCCCCGTGCTGTGTGCCAGCGCTCTGGGCCTCCAGGCCTCGAGTCTCCTGCGGGCACGCAGGTGTTTCGGTTTCGCTAGTCCCCACCTGTCCGTCTGCTCCGCTCCGGCGCTGGAACCGCAGTCCCTCCGATGGCTCCGCGCCCCGCGCCCTGCGCATTTAAAAACCTGCGCGGTGCGGCGACTCCTCCCAGTGGCTGCCCGGCCCTCGGTCGGGGCGGGAGGTGGGGCAGCGCCGCCCGGCCGGCAGGTAGGTGGGGCCGACGAGTGTCGGGAACCTGAGCCCGGGCCGGGCTGCGAACACCCCTAGGCGAGGAGGGGCTGCCGAGCAGTAGGGACCCTCCCCTGGCCCCTCCCCATCGCAAGTCACTGCGAAGGAATGCGGTGCCTGCGCGCGGGCTGGGGTGGGGAGCGACCTGCACCCGCCCGACCCCGGCTTTTGAATGGAGTTTGCCAGGGAAACGCGGGTGGCCGCCGCGCTGGTTTCGGTTCCCCTGAGGCTCATTGGCCTGCTTCATTACGCAGGAGTGAGACGGGCTGGAAGGCCGTGCGGGGAGGGGGCGCGTCGCCGTCCTCCGCGGCCCCTTCCCCCTCCAGTTCATTTCTGCTGGTCTTGCTCAGTCGCCTTAGTGTCCCCTGCTCTGCTTCCTGTCCAACTGCCCCCCCCCCCGCAACCCCAACGCAACAGGGACTGAGCTGGTTCAGAGCCCACCCTCAACTGGAGGTTGCACAAAACCCTGCAGGGAAAGCCCAGCCTGTACCTCGGAAGTGAATCTCCCCATCTTGCTCCAAGGACGTATTTCCTTTCTAACTGCTGCAGGAATGGGATTCATTCACTCAAGGTCACACTGGCCTTAATGGGGAACTCTCTTGCTAGGGAATGTGGAAGGTGTGCCAGACACCTCAACCTTCTCAACCCCACCCCATACAGACTAGAGGCCCGCAGCTGTCCCCAAGAGGAGCAGCCCTTGCCTGGCAGTCGGGGTCTGCCTGGACCTCCAGGCTGGACCCAGTGGGACAGCAGAGTAGCCATGTCTTAGGGGACTTTAGGCTGTTGAATGGATGAGAGCCAAGCCATGACGTCCCCTCCGGAGGCTCCTCCAGGTTGCCCTGCTGCCCCCACTTTCCCTTGCCCTGCCATACCCCCTTCACCTTCCAAGAGGGCAGGTGTCCTCCAGCTTGGCCCCTCCCACGGGAGGACAGCAGCTCAGCCTCAGAACTCCCAGGTTGTGCCCCTTTCCTCCCAAGGGATTCTGGGATGACACCCTCCTTTCCCCCAGCTCCCAAGGCACCTGCAGGGCCGGGTCCTGGCTGCTCTCAGGCTGCAGCTCCTCTCTGTCATGGCCTGCTCTACCAAGTCACACCAGACCTGCTGGGCTGGCCCCCATGTGGCCTTTAGCCCAGAATCCTGCTCCTGAGACTCTGACCAGCACCCCTCGAGGGGCTCCCCCTCTGCCTGCAGCACAACTGGGAAGAAAATGACCACCTGCCCCCCGAGAGCTCAGTCCTCACTCCCACCCCCTCACCACACTTGGCCCCAGCTTCCTGTGCACCACCCCCACTTTCCCCCTGCCCCGCCACCTTTCAGCTGGCTGTACTTCATCTCTGCCATGGACCCTGGAGGCCCTAGAGTACCTGGTCAGGCACTGTGGGTACTGCCCCCTGGTCAGGTCCTCTGCCTACCATACCAGCCACTTGAGCACTCTGCAAGCTGGCTAGTTGGACACTGACTAGAAGAGAAACCCAGCATTGCCCCAGGAATCCCAAGACAGCCAGAGGAAGAAAGCCCTGGTACACTCCCAACCACCCCTGCTCCTTGGGGCTGAGGCTGCAACCTCTTCCGAGGCATGGGGCTGGGTGGAGGCCTCTCCTCTGGGGCAAGCCAGGTGGCACACAAATCCCTGCTCCTGCTCCTTGGGCCCTGGGTGCTCAGAAGCTGCTCCCTGCAGACAGAGCTGAGCCCGCACACAAGCTGGGTCAGGATTCAGGGCCCTGTCCTCAGAGCACACAGCAGCTTCCGTGAGCATAGGCAGTGCTGGGCAGAATCCGCCTCACCTGCTCCTGGAGCCACCCCAGCTGCCCGGCCAGCCAAGCCTCATCCTCTACACCAGGGAGAGGCGTAGCATTGGAGGGGAACTTAGGGGCAGGGCAGGGATGAGAGCAATGGGGGTGACCTTGGACTCAGGGCTGGGACACGGCCACAGCACAGATGTGGGTGCAGGAGGCATGGTGTGTATGAGGAGAGGCTGGGGGAGGTTTTCCTTTGGGTCCCAAAACATGAACCCTGAGCTGGCTGGTCTGATTGGCTGGGAGGAGGTCTACTCCCCCAGCAGATTGGCCAGTCTCCATCCAGCTTCCCTTGCCGGGTACTCAGCGCAGGCCACAGCACCCCCCCACTGTGGAGGTTGGTGGCCCTACACCAGCCTCCAGCCCCTCCACTGGCCTGCAGGCCCCGGCCTGGAGCTTCTAGCCCCTCTGCTGGGTTCCCTGAACAGGGATCTCATACCCTGTTCTCCTACCCAGGCCCTACCCAGGCCACCCACAGGGCAGCGGGCTGAGTTCACCTTTGAATAGAGGGCCAAGGAGAAAGGGGCTGCTGGGTAATGGGTACCAGGGCTGCCCTGGGGCTGGCTGGGGTTGGAGGAAGGGGGTCACTGCACACATCCTGGAAGGAGTGATTTCTCCACATCGATGCAGACCCCGGGGACCCCGGGCAGCAACCGCTTCTGCACCCACCTGGCCTTCAATACCCTCTACCCTCCACCCCCCAACCCACATTGAGGGATTGGAAACCCCCCTCAAGACTTCTCCACACCCAGACTGGTCAGCTTGCTTCCAGGAGCCTCCACCCTGGCTGTACCTTCTCCCACCCAGGCCTGGCATGAGCCTCCTCCTCCTCCAGCCAGGAAGCCCCTCCTCCCAGGCCTGCCAGACAAGGGGGCAGACGATTTCACAGCAGGGCCTGGATGTTCCTGGGTCCCTGGAGGTGCAGGTGTGTTCTGTGGGCTCCCGGTGCCAGTGTGGGCTCACCCACCCCCATCCCCATTCAACCATCTTTCCACCCATCCATTCTCTGCCCAGTAGAAACTGCTCAGCAGATAGACCAAAGGCCTCCTGTGTCCACCACAGCAGACCCTCCAGGCAGCCATCCTTGTCTGGGTGAGAGACAGGGATGGGCAGCCTGAGGTGTGGACTGGCCCCTCAGCTGCTGACAGTGGTGCTCTGGGAGTCCCTGGAGCCTGAAGCCAGCCCCGCTGGCCCCCAGCCTGTGACCCCCAGCGCCACCCTGCCCAGTCTCTTCGTCATGTTTTGTGCTGCTGTTGCCCTGGGAACTTTCCATTGGAAAATGTTGGGCGAGGTGGGCAGGCAGACAGGCCAGGGCAGGCTGCAGACACGCTGTGGGTGGATGGGTGGTGGACGCCTCTCCCAGGAGGGCTTGTCGGTCCCACACCCTAGGACGGCCCACCCTGTCCTGCCCACTCCTGTTCTCAGCCCCCACCCCAGGCCTGGGGAGTGCTGTATGTGTGGGTCCCCACAGAGAGGCCCAGTGGGATGAAGGATGTGTTCCAGCACAGGCCTGCCCACTCCTGGCCCCCAGATCTCATTCCGGAGTGTCCACCCAGCTGCCAGTTGTCCACATGGAGGCAGGAAGTTCCCAGGACCAGCAGCCCTGCTGGGCCTCAGCGTCTTTGCTCAGGTGAGACATTTAGGCTGGAGAGCCCCTTGCCCTTCTCCCCACTGTCCTCAGGCCTCTCAGGAGGAAGAGTGAGAGTAGCACCCACCCTAATGCCCAGCTCCTGGCTGACCTCCCCCCAGGCAGGGCCAGACCCGGTTCCTGCTGGAGCCCCCCTTGGCAGTCCCAGGGCTGTTACTGAGAAGTGGAGGCCAGGCCCCAGGAGGCTATGGGGAAAACTCAGGGTGGCCACCTGCTCTCCCATCAGAGCAGGCCAGAGTCCTAGATGAGCCCAGTCCTCCTGGACAAGGGCAGCAACAGCCACCTAGCAGGACCCTCCAGCCCCATTGCTCCCACCCTAGCCCTGTCAGCTCACACAGCTCCTGTCAACTCAGCTGGTCATCTGTCCCCTTCCCACAGGAGCTCCTGCACCGCGGCAGGTAGATGGGTAAGTGACCAGGAGGAAGAGCCCCGGCCCCAGGCTGCCCACATACAGAAGCTGCTAGAGCCCACAGCTTGTGACTGGGGCCTTCACAGGCCACCAATCCCTGGGAACTCCTCCATGTTTTCCCCTCGCACTGACACCCGGGACACCAGGTCCACAGCCCCACATGACCCAGCACCCTCCACATGGCCCTGACGTACCTGGGCAAGGGGCTGTGTGCACTGCCCACGGATGCCTGGGGCAACTGGCTGCCTGCCAGGGGAGGTGCAGACGGGGCTGAGGGGGTGTAGCCAGAGGAGCACAGGTGGTACCAGGTCTGCAGACGGGCCCAAGCCCACTCCTGTCAGAGCAGGTCTCACAGGCAGACAGGCCATGGCAAGCCTGACCGCGGCTGGGGTCAGCTGGCCAGAGCCAGGGTGGACGGGATGGGCCAGCAGGTCACACTGACGTGGTGTTGGAGGCAGCGGTGATTGCTGAGGTGGCCTGACAGGACAGGAGCCTGGGGCTGGGCCGAGGGGCACAGCTCCCTCGTGAGGGTTGTCTCAGGATCTCTGAGCCCCTGGGAGGAAGGGCCGGCTCAGGAGGTCCCCGGAGAGCTGGCTCAGGCACAGGCATTCACTGGCAGGGGATGGACCTCAAGGGAAAGTGGCTTTTCTTTGAAAGATACCAAGATTTAATAGGAAGGAAAAACAAGGGAGCAGTGAGCTCCCTCACTTAGCAGCACAGGCATCTTCGTGGTAGAAAAGCCCAGAGTTTGGGGACCTGAGTCCAAGGGACCTGCACCTGTCACCGGCGGTGGAGGCTCCTGATCCCCTCCCTGAGCAGGGAATGGGGTGCAGCCGGAGGCACAGGTAACCAGAAATCCGACTCAACCTGGGTTGGAAAATACAAGCAAAGCGGCAGCTCCTGACGGGCAGTGTTGGAGCCGGGGGAGGCCAGGGGGCACGCCAGGGCCTGGGGCTGGGCTCAGCTCTAGAGAGCTGGGTGCCTGGGGACCCGCAGGCCCAGGTGCTGCCAGGCGCCCGCTAGCCTCTTTCAGAAGTTCTAGAGAAACCACACTGGCTCTCAGTGGCTCTGGTCATGTCACCCGCTCTTATGGGTAGAATTCCATTCCCTCAAAGCTACGTCCAAGTCCTAATCCAACAGCATGTTCCAGGCCCTGGGCTTGACATCACAACGCGCGCTCACACACACACACACACACACACACACACACACAGCCCTAATTCCAAGACCTTATTTGGAAATGGGGGGTTTTTGCAGATGTCATCAAGTTAGGATGAGGTCATTAGGGTGGCCCTAATTCAATGTAACTAGCACTGAGAGCATACCACGTGAAGCAGACATAGGGAGCAGTGTGTGACCCAGGGGCAGAGGCTGGAGGGCTGTAGCTGTGGCTGGGCTTTGACAGCTGCTACCAAAGGATAGCTGGAGGAGAGAAGGGTCCTACCTGGAGTCAGAGGTTGGGGGACACTCCCCATCCATGCCTCCCAGTCAGACTCTGGCCCCCAGAGCTAAGAGAGGACACATCTCCCTCGTACTGAGCCCAGCAGGGGCTGCACACCAGGAGCCAGCCAGGGCACAGGTACTTGCCCTCCTGTGGCCTGGTTCACTGCCAGGCTCCTCCCTGGGGCCAGGGTGGTGCCAACAGCACCCGATGCACATGGTTCCCAGAGAGGGCCAAACAAAGTAGGTAGCCGGGGTCTCAGATGGTCCAGAGCTCGCCCTTCCTGGCAGGGCCTAGGACCAGCAGGTGTGCTGGCCAAGAGGAAGAAGACAAGAGTCCAGGGTGGAGCAGGTGCCATTGTGGTTGCCACGTTTATACCATCCACAGCAGGGGAAGGTGGCTCTCCTGACCAACCCTCCCCTTGAGAGTCTCTTATACTTTTTTTCCTAGTACTGAGGTCACCTCAGTGTCTAACCACTGAACTATACCCCAGACCTTTTTGGAATTTTGAGACAGAGTCTCACTAAAGTTGCCCAGTCTGACCTTGAACTTTTTGTCCTCCTGCCTCCCAAGTCTCTGGCACCACCAAGAAATTGTGGCAGTCACAATCCTGAAAGTCAGCTGAGGTGTGAACCTAGTAGAGCAGCAAGAGGCCCTGGGAGCATTGCTGCAGCCCAGGGCCAGCCCTCCTTCGCCCTGGCCCCAGGTGCATCTGGACACCTGCTCAGGAAAACACTGCTGGGCCTTGGAGCACAGATGAAGGTTCTGAAAATGGAGCTTCCCCTGGGGCAGCCAGTAATTGGTGACTGATGAGTCCTGCAGGGTTGCTTCAAGGTGACCTTCCCCGCGGCCTTCCATACCCCTTCTATACTCTCTTCTGATTTCACTTCTTAATTGCTTTTACCCAAACCCTTGCTTTGGCGTCTACTTCTGGGGAGTCCTGCCCAAGGCCCACGTCTCCCCAGGCGGGCCACTCAGGGAGCACCAGCTGTGCAGAACTGGCTCACCACCTCGTTGGCAGCACCTGGACGGCAGCAGACCTCCCTGCTACAGAAACTCCACCCAGACAGAGCCAGCACACAGGAGGCACACGATTAATGCTGAATTAATCAATGAATCCAATCCAGGTGAAATGGACAAAATGACCTGAGCAGCTTCAAGTGGGGATGCTGAGCATCACACCTCCCGGAGCAGGGCCTGCCTCTGGACGCTTGGCCTGGACTCTGCTTCCCAGGGGTTCTCAGCTCCCCTATCCCTGGCTTTCCCCCAAGCCCAGTCCAGGACCCTAACTCTGGAGGCTGTGGTCCAGGATGGGTAAGCATGAGGCTGACCATGGCCATGGCTGCATGGAGGTCCACCCCGCCCCGCCCCTGTCGGCAGCTCTGCCTCCTGCCTCTCACCTTTGGGACCCCTGGGACCGCACCTTCCCTGGACTGCTCCCCCAGCCCCTGGCGGTCCAGCAGCCTCCCACGCTGCTTCCAACAAACCATCTTCAGCTGGAGTTTCCGTTTCTTATAACCAGAGTCCCAGTGAGCACCCCAGAGGGAAGCAGCCAGCCCTGCCATGTGGGGCCCTCTGGGAGACGCTGGCTGGGGTAGGTGAAGGCAGCTTGGAGGGGACCACCTGCTGCTCAGGACCAGGGAGGAGTGAGCACTCAGCACCAGGAGGTCAAGGGACCTCCCTTTTTTTGAGTCGGAAACTATTTAAGAAACAAGATGCAGACATCGGTGAGGTGCCCCTAGAGGTATCAGCTTCCTTTATGCTAAACTGAGGCTCCTGACGCTGCCCCAGCCACTGGCTCCGTGGAGGTGGAACTTCAGCAGGACCCCACCCCACCCGGTTCCAAGGCATCCAGCAGGCTGAGTCCTGTGGGCCTGGTTTCATCCCCAACCCACCAACAGACAGCCTGTCCCCCACAAGGCGGGCAGACAGGCAGAAGCCCCTCCCGGGAGTGAGTGACAGTTTTCCCACTTTCCCACACAGAGTACCCAGCCTCGACGTCTGAAGGCTGAGCTCCAGCGTCTGCAATGAGCCCCAGGAAGACATGAGGAATCTGAGGATCAGAGCTGGAGGCTGCTACTGACCTTGCCAGATAGACCCTAGCCAGGGAGCGGTCAGTGCAAGTACACAGACCCTTGGCCAGAGTGTTGGGCTAATACCTGGGGCTAGGAAAATCATGAGGGAGGCAAACCCTGTAGTGGCCTGACCCTTCAGGGATGACAGCTCCGACACCAAGCTCCCATCACATGAGGGCTCCCTGGCACAGGGGCTGGTGGGAGGTCTGAGGCTCAGGACCCTCTTCCACCATCCCCCCTCCTTCCCAGGCTGACAAAGCTCCTGGCAGTACTGAACTGTCCAGGGGCCTCACACCCTCCTCCCGTCATCTGTCATCTGTCCCCACTAATGCTCCCAATGACAGAGCTCGGAGCCAGACCAGAGGAGTCCGAGGCGCTTCCACACCAGGGGATCTGATGCGTCTTCAAATGAATTTGCACAAACTTGCCTGGCAGGAGGGTGGGCTCCAGGCTGGACAAGCAAGGCCGAGCACAGTTTCATGGCTGATCCTGCCAGTGTGCACCCGTGAACTGGGGATTCTGGACTCAGGTATACCCTCCCACAACTGGAGAAGAGCAGTGTGGACCTCCCTGGCCCCTCTGAGGCTGGCTCAAAGGCAGACCAACTGGGAGGGAGCTCATGGTGGGGTCCGGAGAATTCTGTACGGTCTAGGACTGAAACCCCTGGCCAGGAGCCCTGCAGGAAGAGGCCAGTTCCCAGGGCAGCCCTGCTCCAGAGCCCCATGCAGCCTCCTCTGCAGGTCCGTCAGGGCACAGCTTGCCTGGGCACTGGGCTTTATCAGGCTCATTGTTGGTTTCTCCTAAGAAAGATGGGGCACTCAGAAGTGGCCAGAGCTGGCTGGCCTTGGTAAGAATCTCCATGCTTGAGTCCAAGCGGGGCCTCAGTCCTAGCCACCAGAGCCACCTGCTTGGTGACCTTATGGAGCAGCCCTGGGTGACACCTGACATGCAAAGTTGTCACTGTCCCAACCTCAGAGCCTCCTCACACCCATGGGTATTCCCACCCTCTTCATCCCCGTGCCCTGCCAGGCCCCCTGTGTACCTATTCTGTGCTCTCTGAGTCTCTGGCCACCACAAGCACTAGCTGTGGCCTGTGATCCTTCCTCAGGGACTATGAGTGGCCAGGCACATGGCTTCAAATGCTGCCAGCTGGCGCATCTCCCTGCCATCCCTGGTGGGACTACGGGGCTGTCCTCCCAGCTGGGTCCAATGCACTGGGCAAAGCCATTGGCAGCTTGAGGACCCATCTCTGTCACCTGGCAGTGGGTGTGAGCCTCAGGCTCCAGGAGGGCTGTACAGCTGGCAGGAGGCAGGTGCAGGGACACAGGAAGCAACACCTGACTCTGCAGACAGCCAGCTCCTCAGGACACACTGGTGCTGGGCTGCTTTCCTGTACCCAGAGTGCTGCTGCCCTGCCCAGTTTTATGGTAGCTCCCTGTTTATCATGGGCAACTGGGACACCTGTCTCTGCTTACTGGCCACATGGCTCATCTCCACCAGGGCTAAGGAGCAGGCCTCAGGCTGCTTCTCAGAGGACTGGTCACTTGCAGGAGAGGGTGTGCTGGGATTCTCTGACAGGTGTGTGTCCAGGACACAGGAGCGCCCCCAGAGCAGCCAGGCCAGGCAGAGCTGCTCAGAAGACCCAATCTAAGGGCCCTCCAAGCCACCACCATACTCACCTCCCAGGCCTGTGTAGTGTCCCCTCCAGTGAATCCACATGTGGGGAGCCACACTGAGGTACCACACCTTCCGTCCTGATGCACCAGAGATCTGAAAGATCACTGTAGTCTAGCGTGGTCGTGCCATGACTCGTGCCTCGGTCTTTTGCCCACCCTTGGATAGCAAGGCCAGTCTTCTGAGTGGGCAACCCCTGGGGTTGAACCACACTCACCTGTTCCTTTGTAATCCTACCCCTTTGCCCTGTTTGGGATAGAATGTTCCATGGAAACGCTCTGTGTGTCCCCTTCTCTTGGTCTGCCTTTGGGTGTGGCCTTCCTAGATGTCAGTCACCAGCTGACAGCAGACATCAGGAAGCTGGACTAAACCCCTGACGCCTGACCCCTTGCCTCGTTTGAAACGGCTTCTCCCCAATAAAAGGGTTTAGCACGGGCTCCTCACTCTCTTTCCTCAACCCCTAAGGTCAGAGGAGCCATCACAGGACCCAAAGAAAAAGGTCTCTCTGTTTCTTGTGTGGTTACTTCTCGCAGCCCAGTTCCCCTGGAGTGACCCTGAGTGTTTTAGTCCTGGAACGTGACATCCACAGGATCACTTGAAGATGGAATGCTGCTCCTCAGTCACCAAGACCAAGCCCCATCCATGTTTCTGATCTGCCCTCCTTAGCCCAACTTCAGTCTCCATAGTCATAGGGAGTCTGCTGGGCTCCACCCCCCACACACCTGGCAGAACAAGGGGACATGTGAGAGGGGCGACCCCACAGATCACTTGGCAGCAACAGTGGAAATCCGAGTGCCTATGGGCCACGGACCCATAGGGCCAGAATATGAAAAATGAACAGACCCCACTTTTATCTAGACAGTGACTATGAGTTGGATTACTTTCCCCAAAGATTTGTTGAAGTCTGATCACCCCTGCCCCTCAGGATGTGGCCATTTTTGGAAATATGGTCATTGCAGACCTGAGTAGATGAAATGAGGTCACAATTGGGTTGGGAGGGCCCCTGATTCAGTATGACTGCTGTCCTTATAAAAATAATGCCATGTGAAGATGGAGCCCTGCCGTGTGCCAGCATAGGAGAGTCAGGTGCTGTGTGGGAAGCCCCAGAGCACTGGGAACAGGCCACGCTGGAGGGAGGCCAGCAACAGTCTTCCTCAGAACCTCCGAAGGAACCGCCCTGCTGACACTTTGATCTAGGACTCTTGGCAGCTGACACTGTGAGAGAATGTCCCTGTGGCTTTAAGCAGCCCAGCTTGCAGTGCTTAGAGTGAGCCCAGGAACGGTGGCCCCACCTGCCCAGTCCCTGCTGATTGGTGGCCACAGGAAGTGCTTGGCCTCAGCTTGGGATGTGTCTAATAGTCCCCTCAGGTTCGAGCACCTGGTCAGACAGGCAGTGGGGGGAGACCCTCCTTCCTTTGGGAGACCCTGCACCCCTTAACACAGAGGCCGGGGCAGCCCCCTCGCCTCTGGCAGTTGGTGTTGCCACTCAGGTCCCCTCATCCCAGCCGCAGTCAGAGGACCAGGGATAATGACTTCCTCTGCCATCCTCAAGGTGGGGGAGCGGGCTGCATGCTGAGCCCAGGCCCCATGGCCTGCTGTATCCCCTCCTCCTTCCACTGTGTACTGGCAGCCCCTGGAGCCCCTGTGCACCCCACAAAGCCAAATAAGGCTCTGTCAAGCCTTCCTGGTCCTGCCCAGCTCCTGCCCAGCCCTCTCCCTGCGTCCAGCACCCTGGAGGGGCTCCCTGCGTCCTGCTCCCTGGAGGGGCTGCTCAGTGGGGAGCCGGCTCCTCCTGCCCACATGACCTCTCTGCAGCTAACCCTGGAGAAACTCTGGGGGCAGGAGGGGAGGTGTGGGTTTCAGGAACTGCCCAGTGAGATCCTGGGAAGCGCTGGGGGAAGAGGGGCTGGTGCTCCTGGGGCTGCGCTCTCTGCTTCCTGGCCACCAGGGTTGAGAAGAGCCTGACCACACAGATGCCCAGGGGGTCAGCAGGTGGGGCTGACTTGCCTGCCAGGCCCTCTAATCCCCAGGGTGGGAGGACGGTACCTGGGGGGCTGACTTCCATCTGAGTGTGTACCACTAGGGGTGGTGGTCCCTGATGCTCTGGGGCACCCCCTAAGCTCAGACACCCGTAGGCCTGGTCTGCAGTCCCCCCAACACTGCTGGACAGAGGGGCAAGGCGTGGTGGGGTCGCCTAGGGAGGGCAGAAGGAGCGTGCCACGGAGGGAAAGAGCTGCCACCAGAGGCAGCTGGACCCCGCGGAGGCCCAAAGCGGAGGTGGAGAGAGGCACAAGGGATCAGTGCACGCACACCTTAAAGAAAACAAGGACGTCACCAAGTGACCAGGAGCATGACTCAAGAGCAGGAATTTGTGTGTGAGCAGCGTGACTGATCTGTCGGTGGGAGGGGCCAGGCGGGACGGGCTAGGGAGGCCCCAGAACCCTAAGGTAGGACCAGGGCCTCACTGCTGGCAGCCAAGAAGGAAGAGGAGACCCAGAATGCCTGGGAAGGGCCAGGTGCAGCTGCAAGTGGCCGGAGGCGTCTGCAAGGTGGGGGACGTGGACCCAGAGCATGGAGGGATGGGCCAGGTTTCCGCAGAGGTTGGAAGGAGGCCTCAGACCAGAAGGGGAGGGAGGAGCTGGCTGGTCCCCATCCGGGACACCTGGACAAGAGGGAAATTCTGAAGCCCTTGACGGGGAGCCAGCAGCAGCACTGGGCTGGAGGATAATGGAGCCGTGCCCAGCGCTGGAGGGAGAGACTTGTTCCCAGCCTTCAAACCAGCCACACAGAGGTCCTGCTCCTGGCACCACAGCCTCTCTGACAGGAGCACCGTGTGGGTGACAGGAGGGAAGAGCTGGACGGCGGCCAGGGAGCCTCTGCAGACGCTGGCCTCCAGGGGGAGGTCCCAGGGAGCTGCCCCCCCCATGAAGGAAAGGAAAGGAAAGCAGAGGTGAGCCTGAGGTGGGGGGGCCAGGAAGGAGGAAGGACAGTACCAAAAGGGACAGCAGGTAAATAGAATACCAAGGTCCGATGGCAGGAAGCAGGGCACACAGCACAGCAGACGGGGTGTGAGTGGGTGGACTCGCAGGGCCAGCGGCTCCTGGGCTGGATCTGGAGACCAGCAACAGGCTGGCTGCACTGAACCAGGGGAAGCGGCCTTCTCTGACCAAGCAGATGCCGCTTGTGTGAGTCCGACCTCAGTCCAACCGGGGACCAGAGAAGTGAGCCTTGCTGTGGGAGAGCCCCGTGGGAACTGCCCGCACAGAACATTCCAGAGAAGGACGTCCTCGAGACGCCACCCGCAGCAGCTCCTGCTCTGAGCCTCTGCCACCAGGGCAGACTCTGGGGGAAATGCAAAATACTAAAATTGAAAAGTAAGAAATAGAGAAATGCAGATTTTTCAATAGACCAGTAAATAAAATGGTCAATAAAGCATTTTCCTCTGAGAAAACTCCAGGTTCAGATTATTTTCAAGGTAGATTTCATCGACTTTCAAAACACGGAAACAAAGTATTATTAACTTATGTCCATCTTCCCCCTGCTCCAAAAGGAAAAAGATGCCGATCTCATTTTGCAAGACTCCTGCACGATTATTTCTGAAAGCTGGGACAATGCAGGGGGGAGGGATGTGGGCCCCAGGACCTACAGACACAGATGCAGAGGTGTTAATAAAACATCATCTAATGATACGCCACAGTGCACTTCCAGAACAGTGTGGCTCAGGAGCAGGAGGGCGGCTCAGCACTGAAAACGTCAGGTATCAGCACTGTTCGCAGCACTAACACACTCCCGGGAAAACTGATGGCATCAATGACAGGAAGCACATGTGACAAAGTGAATGCCATCCTCACCAGAAAACAGAACTCCAAGCACTCACCCTGGGACCTCACTTCCTCAACTGGCTTTCTGTTACTTATGGAAAGTAGTTGTAAATATTTTTCTAGTGGAAAAAGTTTAGATGTCTCCCCTTAAAAATTAGAAAAGCCCAGAATGCTCACAGCCACTACTCTGTCCACATAGCCTGGGACATCTGGGTCAATCCTGAAGGGAAGCAAAGGAATGACGGAATGATGGGTAAGAGACTTGATGCCTAGGCTCTCTCTCATCCAGCGAGGAGGTCCACAGAACAAGGTAGGGGAGAGTGTGGCTGCAGAGTCGCTGATCCAGACCTCCGGAGACCAGGCAGGAAGCAGGTCTGATCTTACTGCGCAGTTACCGTGTACGTATAGCCAGGCAGCAGCTAAGCAGGTTCAGGCAGCCACCAGTGCAGCGTCTGCTAACTGTCCTCCAGCGGCCAGGCAAGGAGTGGGCATGCAGCAAGCGCAGGGACTGCAACACGCAGCCTCACACTAGGGCTGTGCCTACGGGGCAAGCGGTGTGCCGCTCACACACTCACACAGGGGAGTGGTTTGCCACTCAGATGCCCTTAACGTATGCCATGTGTGCAGAACTCCATGCATGCGTCCCCACAACTTGAGAGCAAGAGAAACAGCTGTCTCAACGGCAAAGACCATCATCTACGAAAAGGAAGGAAGGAGGAGGGAAGGAAGGAAGGAAGGAAGGAAAGAAGGGAGGGAGGGAGGGAGGGAGGGAGGGAGGGAGGGAGGAAGAGAGAGAAAGAAAAAGGAAAGGGCCGGGTACAGTGGTGCGCACCTGTCATCCCAGCTGCTGGGGAGGCTGGGGCAGGAGGATCACGAGTTCAAAGCCAGCCTCAGCAATGGCAAGGCACTAAGCCACTCAGTGAGACCTTGTCTCTAATAAAATACAAAATAGGATGGGGACGTGGCTCAGTGGGTGAGTGTCCCTGGGTTCACTCCCTGGTACCCCCCCCACCAAAAAAAAAAGAGAGAAAGAGGAAAGGGCCACAAAAGCCCAGCCCCCGGCAGGCAAACGTGACCACACTCTCTAGACTCAGAAAGAACAGCCCCTTCCAGGTCCTCTGAAGCCCTCCCCAGGACCCAAGGTGGAGGACGCCCTCCCAGGGGACCTCTGTGGGGAAAGGCCACCTGTCTGACAGGTGAGCTGTGGGGACAGGTGGGGATCTGCAGAGCAGTGCTGGCTGAGAGTCCCTGATTGTTGAAGCAGATGATGTTACATGGGGTTCTTTATTCTTCAGTAAGCCCCCCTTATCCACAGGCGCACTCTGCAAGACCCCCGGGGAAGCCTGAAACTGTGGATACAGATACATGTATCTATGCTTTTCCTATATATATATCTATATCTATCTATGATAAAGTCTAGTTTATTAACTAGACACAGTAAGAGATTAACAACAGTAACTAATAATAAAATAGAACAATTATGATATTACACTGTAATAAAAGTTATGTGAATACGGTCTCTCTCTCTCCCTCCCCCTCCCACCTCTCTCAGTTCTTATTAAAGGAAGTACTTTATGGTTCCTCTTTGGTACCTCTAAATTGCCAGTATCATGTGCTTTGGGGCCATTATTAAGTAAAACAAGGGTAATGTGAGCATAAGCACTTGATACAACAACAGTGGATCTGATAACCCAGACACTGCTGAGTGACTTAGCATGTGGATAGTGTATACAGCATGGATACAGTGGGTCAAGGGATGACTCATGTCCCAGGCCGGGTGTGGGGATGGCTTGAGATCTCATCACAATACTCAGAATGTTACACAATTTAAAACTTATGAATTGCTTATTTATGGAATTTTTCATTTAATATTTTCAAACCACAGTAGACTGAGGCAACTGATGCTGTGGAAAGCGAACCTGCTAAGGGGCACACGTGTGCTCTTTGCTTCCGTATACGCTTCAATCCTCCACCATAAAAGCTTTAAAGAAACAACAAGACTGACAGACATCCAACCCATCTGATTTGAGAGCTCTGCGTGCCAGTGGCCATGCCCTTGGATCTTTTTTGAACAGACTCTGCAGATTTGATACGGCGTTGTACAACCAGAGCTGTTTTTCTTGACTTAACTGTGAGCACTTAAGTCACTCTGTAGACCTTCAGTCCCTTCCTTGAGCCCTTTTGGTTCTTAAAGGATTAACCAGGTGCCTGCCTAATCCAGCAGAGACTTACTGTGGGTGTGCCACCCCACCCGTAGGCCTTGCTCAGGGCTGAAATGCAACAGGCAGCCGTCATCTGGGACATTTCTGCTTGGGGTTGCGAGCAGCTGTCTCCTCCACCTTCTGTGCTAGGGACTGGCTCCTTTTCCTTCATTCCGGCTCACAAACCAGCCCATTCTTGTCTAAGCACCTCTCTCTCTCAAGATGTGATCCACATAGCATAAAATTCATCCCTTTAAAGTGTAAGTTCCAGTGATCTTTAGTATAATCACAAGGTTGAGCAACCACCACCACTATCTAATTTCAAAGCATTTTTATCACCCAAATAGAAACCATGTGCCTTTCTTTATTTGCGTGCTTTGTTTTTTATAGATGGCATCTCGTGGTGCTGCCCAGGCAGGCCTCAGATTCCTGGGCTCAAGCACCTTCTCCCCCAGCCTCCCAAGTGCTGGTACTACAGGCCACCACAGCCAGCACCCACAGGACTCTAACAGTGAGACCCCACCTCTGAGGCCCTGGTCACTTCCTGTAGCTGTGGCTCTGCCTGCTCGGATCATTTCAGTGGCCTTGGACCCCTTTGGTCTTTTATGTCCTGTGGTTTTCCAGGTCCACCAGGTCACGGTGTGCAGCTGCGCTTCATCCCCGTCTATGGCAGAGACCTTTTTACTGTGTGGCAGGACTGTGTCCCCTCTCTGACCATCAGCTGGTGGACTATTGTGAATGCTGCTGCTCCAAGTGTCTGGGCGACATTTTGTGTGGACATGTTTCCAGTTCTCTTGAGTATACCCCAGGAGAACTGCTTGGCACATGGTAGGTCATGTTCAGATTTTTGAGAACTGTCATTATTTTTCTTTTTAAAGTTCTTCTTTTGGGCTGGGGATGTGGCTCAAGCGGTAGCGCGCTCGGCTGGCATGCGTGCGGCCCGGGTTCGATCCTCAGCACCACATACAAACAAAGATGTTGTGTCCGCCGAAAACTAAAAAAAATATATATAAATAAATAAATAAATAAATATTTTAAAAAAAATAAAGTTCTTTTTTTTTTTAATATTTATTTTTTAGTTTTCGGCGGACACAACATCTTTGTTTGTATGTGGTGCTGAGGATCGAACCCGGGCCGCACACATGCCCAGGTGAGCGCACTACCACTTGAGCCACATCCCCAGCCCCTGTCATTATTTTTCAAGGTGGCTACACCATTTAATATTCCCACTGGCAACGTATGACAGCTTTAAATTCTTTACCTTCTCACCAAAAATTGTCATTCTCCATTTTAAAAAATGAATCAAGGCCATCCTAGGACTATGAAGTGGTAACGTATAATGGTCTTGATTTGCATTTCCCTAGTGACAGATGACAGGGAGCATCTGTTTGTTTGCTTCTGTGTTATTTGTATGTCTTCTTTAAAAAAAAGTCTACTCCAGTCCTTTGTCCATTTTTAAATTGGGCTGCCTTCTGTCTTGTGCTGAGCTTCAAATGTTCTTTATGGAGCCTGGATAAAACTCCTTATCAGAGAAACAATTTCCAAATATTTTCTCCCAATTTATAGGTGGACTTTTCATTTTCTAGACAATGTCCTCTGAAGCACATGAGTTTTAATTCTAATGAAGTCTAATTTATTTTGTTTCTCTTTGGTTTTGGTTACCTTTGCTTTTGGTATTATCTAGGAAGTCATTGCCTAATTCAAAGAAGCAAAATTTGGGGACTATTTTCTTCTAAGTTGGTAATAGTTTTAGTTCTTCCATTTAGGTTTTTGATCCATTTTGAGTTAATTTTTGCATGTGATGTGAGGAAAATAAAAGAATGCCCAGCTCCATTCATTGCATATAAATATTGTGGAAGGCCACCGTCGCACGTGATCTGAGTGACCTCCCTGGCTGGGTGAGAGGCGCTTAGGCACAGCTGTGTCAGAGCTTTCCCCACCCTTCTCCAGGTACGAGGGCTTGTCTGTGCAGAGGCGTGTCTGGCCACTGCCCGAAGACCCAATTGTCGCCCCTGACCTTGGGATGCTGCCCCCCTTAACCTTCATTGGATGGAATTTTCCCCAGAATTTTTTGTTCCCCAATAAAAGTCCACCTCCCCGGCATGTTCTCTCTCTCTCTCTCTCTCTCTCTCTCTCTCTCTCTCTCTCCTCACTACCATATTAGGTGGCTGGAGGCAGGAGCTGGGAGGAGCCGTCCTGGGGCTGGTTTTAAAGGTAATTAGAGTCTGTCTCTTTAATTTAAAACTCCCTAGCGGTTTCTCACGATTCGAACCTTCTTTCATGAAGCCAGGGCAGTTCGCCGGCTAAAAAATATTCCTTGTCCTTTTTCCTGCTGAAGGATCTTGACACTCTTGTCCCAATCAGCAATCACAGACATGTGGGTTTACTTCTGGACTGTCCCATGGTCCATCCCCATGACTGGCACCACACTGTCTTGGTTACTAGAACTTCGTAGAAACTGGGAAGTGAGTCCTTCAATGTGGTTTTCAGGAATTTTTTTTTTTTGCTATTTTGAGTCTCTGGAAATTCCATATGAATTTTAGGAACAGTTTGTCCATTTTTGTAAAAAAGAAAAAGAAAAGAAAAAGGGCATTTGGAATTCCTTAAAATTTTCTTTTAGTTGTAGGTGGACACAATACCTTTTTATATTGTTTATTTATATGTGGTGCTGAGGATTGAACCAATGCCTCACACGTGCTAGGCAAGGGCTCTACCTACCAGTGAGCTACAATCCCAGCCCCCGCATTTGGAATTCTGATAGGAATTGCATTAACTCTTTAGAGCCACTTGGGAAGAATCGCCATCTGAATCACATGGAGTCTGCCAACCCATCAATATGTGGTGACTCCATTTAGTAACGTCCTCTTTGTTCTTTCCACATCTTACAGTTTTCAGCATGCAAGTCTTACACTTCTTTCCTTAAATTTATGGGGCTGGGGCTCAGTGGCAGAGCTCTTGCCTGGCATGTGTGAGGCACTGGGTTCAATTTTCAGCACTACATATAAATAAATAAAATAAAGGTCTATGGGGCTGGGGATGTGGCTCAAGCGGTAGCGCGCTTGCCTGGCATGCATGCGGCCCGGGTTCGATCCTCAGCACCACATACAAACAAAGATGTTGTGCCCGCCAAAAACTAAAAAATAAATATTAAAAAATTCTCTCTCTCTCTCTCACTCTCTCTTAAAAAAAAAAAAGTCTATCAACAGCTAAAAAAAAAAAAAGATCAAGGGTATCACATAACCTCATTGCTACCACAAGATATAACTGATTTTGTGTATTCGTATCCTCCAAACTTGATTTGCTCCAATAGTTGTTTTTTGTTTTTGTTTTTTAATGTTTGCCTTAAGCCCTGGGCATACTGCTTACCATCTGTACCAAGGACACCAAGTGTGTGGACTGCCAGGAGAACTTTAAGGCAACTTTTTTTTTTAACTTCCAGTTCTTGTTTTTTGTTTATTTTTTTAAATTTTTTTTAGTTGTAGATGGAAATCGTAACTTTACTTATCTTTATGTGGTGCTGAGGATTGAACCCAGGGCCTCACATGTATCAGGCAAGTGCTCTGCCACTGAGCCACACCCGCAGCTCCCTCCAACAGCTTTTTTATGTACTCTCTGGGGTTCTTCTACGTCAAGATCATGTCATTTTCAAATCAAGGTCGGTCTATTTCTTACTTTCCAGTCTGGGGGCCTTCTACCTCTTTTCTTGCTCAAGTGCCTCCTGGAGCCTCTAGTTCTGCACTGAAGGAAACGGTGAGAGCTGCCGTCCTTGCCTCCTCCTGACTAGGGGGATTTCAGCCTTGCCCCACCCTGTGACAAGAGCGGAAGGTTGGGGAAGTCCTCTTCTCTTCCTACCTGCTCCCTGCTTGAATCATCATTGGAGGTTGAATTTGCCACATGCTTTGGCTGCATCTATTGAGATAACCCTGGTCTTTGTCTCCTTTGTTCGTCCAGTCTTGTTTGTTACCTGGGTAAGGGTTCACTATTGAACCAACATTCCTTCTCAGCCCAGGTCGACCTCGCTGCGGTGTCCAAGTCTTCCCATATGCTGGTAGATCTGGTCACTTGTCGCGTTCCAGGACTAAACACTCAGGTGCTGGGCTGCATGGAATTACAGAGACAGAGAAATATCTTTTTCTTTGGGTCCTGTGACAGCTCCTCTGACCTTAGGGGTCCAGAAAGAGAGAGGAGCACATTCTGAACCCTTTTAATGGGGAGAAGCCATTCAAATGAGGCCAGGGGTAGGATTACAAAGGAACAGGTGAGTGTGGCTCAACCCCTCTGGGTGCTACCTGTGGGGGGTGTCGCACTGAGTGACCAGTATTTTCCTTCCCTGGTCAGTTGAGGCTCTGTCGGTCACTTCCAATGATCTGGCCACATTCAAAGTGGCCCCAGACGGCTGCCCCCATCCTGGAAGTGGCAGAATGTGTCTTCATGAATAGGTGTGGCCTCCTGCAGCCCCAGGGGTCGAATCACCTTACCTGACCTTGTAACCTGCCCCTCTTGACCTTTTTTGGATGGAATTTTCTAAAGAATGAGGGTTCCTCCAATAAAAGTTCACTCCCAACCCTGCTAGCTCTCTCTCTCCAGCCTCTCATGACGTTACTCGCTCTCCCGTTTGTTGGGGCTTGAGGCCTAGAGCGAAGGAGCCATCCTGGAGCTTGAATTAAAGGTAAATTGTGTGTGTTTTATTTGGTGTCCCACTCGAGCGACCTTTAGTTTGCAGGACTACCAACTCATAGGGCCACACCTCGTTATCTGAGCAAGGGAAAAGCCTGAGTCACAAGTCATGGCACTATGGTACAGACCACAGTGATCATTCAGATCCCCATGCACCAGGACTTAAAACCATAGAGCAGAGAGCTCATTCGCACTGTTTATTACAGTTACAGTGGCTTCTAGAACATTTTAACTTAGTTTCAATCCTCCCATTAGCACTTATCAGACTCTGAAGGATCTTGGAAGTAATTTAAGTCAATTATTAAGAAAACCCAATATGTTGTAAGTTTGAGACATACCATAAAGGCTGTAACTGTAGAAGCAAGGAATAATATTTAGTCACTTTAAGGATCATGAGACCAGCAGCTTGCCTAGGTCTGGTTAATTGACTTGCACCTGTTTCAAAGCCTGAATATTAACTTCAGCATATTATAGCTCTGAAATATCAGCTGGCAATAACTAGTGATACAATAAGATAAGTTGTATTCTTACAGACTACAGGATATTCATCATTCTTCCTCTTAATTCTCACATTTAGGGAGTTTATTGGTCTGTCAGTAATGTAAATATTTTGAAGGCAGAAGTCAAACATTAAAACATCCTTTTGGATGCCATCTCACTGAGAGTTAAAGTTTCTAGGAATTATGGCATCCTCATGTGATCGTTCTTGTCCATTTTAGAGACCAGCCTAAAATATCCACTATTTCTAGATATCTTGTGTTCTACTGACATGCACGATCCATCCACTTAGGAAAGGTGCCAGTTTCTACTGTAGAATGATTAGGGCGACAACACATTGGTGGATATTCTAAGTAAATAACTGGTCTGTATAGGAAAAATCTATTTTAGTAATCTTTCTGACTGTTGTTCAGACAGGTAAATATAGTCTTAATCTCTAAGGACCAGCATGATTGGCTGGTTCAGTTTTCTGATATGCTGTCTTTTTCTCAAAGGATACTCCCAGACAGCCTGTTACCATAGGATCAACAGCTAGGGATAACTGACCACTACCGTCAGCACAATTCATCTAGTTTCACTGGTGGACTTTCCAGTCCACACCACAATGTACATTAAAAACAGACCTGGGAAGTGGGTCCATAGAAGTCTCTTCGTGATTTTTACTTACCTGACGAGCTCGTGAAGCTGCATGGTTGTGAACTCTGCAGCTGGAAATTCACCTTCCTGGGCCAGGTTTCTCAGTCATTTTCACAATGACAGGTTTAAAGTCTATCTTTTGAAATCTGATTTAATTTACTGAATCATGTTCAGCAGCAGTGAAACTCTCAGAATCACAATTTAAGAAAAAGTTTTGAAACATTTTATAAGATCTAGTATGTGTCTGTGGGGTCCTGTTTACCCCTTTCTTTATTTAGTAAAATTGATAATGGCCTGGCATCAGCTGTAGTATCATCAGTTTAAGTTATAGATAATAGTACAAGTATTTAAATAATAAGAAAGGATTTATTATTTTTAGCCGGTCTTAAAATTTGACAAAGGTCATCTGCTAGCTGTGTTAAGTCCAACATTCATGTGTTGGAAAGGGACTATGGTGAATAGAAACTTAGCCTTTATTAAATGTATGACTTGATTTTGTCTTTAAAAGAATTACCAAAAATTAAGAATACAATAAGTTGTATATAAAGATTTCTATTTTGAAATTAGCTTTAGATTAATTTAAATAATTATCTTAATTTGGAAAAGTACGAGAGACAGAGTTTGAAACTTAGGAATGGTGGCCTTCACTAGGAGCATGAGAAATAGACTTCTGTCTAAATTAGGAAGTACATGTGCTAAATAAACCTAGAGAAGAGATTTTGTTTTTTACCATTAATAAAAAATGAAATAGAGAAATGAAATAAAAAATAGGTTTTTTTTATCTACCAATCCATAAAACTGTCATTATTATTATTATCAAACTTAGTGTGGACCTAAGTAGAGGGAGTAAGTATTTTAAATATTAATGGGTAAAAAGAAGTTAACAATATTGTTTAAGACAATGATCTAGGGCTGGGGTTGTGGCTCAGCAGTAAAGCGCTCGCCTAGCACGTGCGAGGTCCTGAATTCGATCCTCAGTACCATATAAAAATAAATAAATAAAATAAAGATATTGTGTCCAACTACAACTAAAAAACAAATTTTAAAAAGATAATGATCTAACTTAGAATTTTATGATTTTTTTAATATTTATTTTTTAGAAGTAGTTGGACACAATACCTCTATTTTATTTACTTATTTTTATGTGGTGCTGAGGATGGGACCCAGAGCCTCACATGTGCTACATGAGTGCTCTACCACTAAGCCACAGTCCCAGCCCCTAGAATTTTATGATATTGAGCTAGCAATAAGTTTTAGGGATCTCATGTCAAAACAATCTTTGTGTACAAAGAAATAGTTGTATGAGCATCCTTATTTATTTAATGTAGTAAAATTAGCTCTAATAATTATGTATAATTTATGATGACTTTACTTATTTCAAACATATCAATGTATGTAGGGCATTATCTCATATTATTAAAGTTGAGAAAAGGTCTGCCATGTTAAATTTCTTATTGAAATTAGCTATTGGCTGTTGAGCTGATTTATTTATAGCTGTCTGTCTAATATTTCATGGATAATTATTTCTAGAGTCATTTTTCTTAGTGATACACTGTTGACAGGGGCCCTGTTTGAATGTTTAGAGGTCTCTAAAATCTGTTTATAACTTAGTAAAGGAGTAAAATTTTTAACTGGGAAGTTTATTTTTCTTGGGGTAAGATTAGCATTTCAATTTCTTTCTGTCAGTATGTTTGCCTTTCTTTTTCTGTTTGGGCTCTATTTAATTATGGTGTAATACCTAAACTTGGCTAGAATTATTAATCTGTGAAAATCTCCTGGAATGTCTAGGGCTAACTGGATGATGAACTCATCTTTTGAAAATGGGTGGTCCCCTATAAATTCAGGGTGTTATACTATCCTTTTGAGTTTCTCCATGAAAACAGTAGGATTTTTGAAAAGCTTACTAAAATTATTTTCTAGGCATTTGGTTTACCTGTAGGATTCTACGTGTCCCCAGGAAATTGTCTATGTCCCAGATAAACTATTAGGCCTGTTCCTACTTGTGTCATTGGAACATGGCCAAGATAAATTTCCTTTAAAACTGTTTTTAAGATGACCCTCTACTTTAAAGTTTACCTAAGTAATAGCATAATATTTCTCTAGGTAAGGTTAGACATTTGGCATAAGTGTTGATTTAATAAATGAGTTTGGATTTTTTAAAAATCTCCCTAAATTTGTTTTGGTCTATATTAAGTTTGATAGGTTTCGTTCAATTTTAGTTTCCAGTAGGCATTTTTTTAAGGCCTTCTCTGTTAATAGTAATTGAGGCTAGATATGAAAATGAGATACCTTTTATTGATTATTATAATTTCCCAGTATACAGACTAGTTGATCCATCCCAATAATTTAAAAAGAACCCTCAATCTCTTTTTGAGAGAAGGTCTCAAAATATCTCTATATCTCAGAATATTATCCTTTGAATAGGTGTCTCTTAATTATCTTTTAGAAAATATGATAAGATTACTTTTCAGTGTAGGGAGTTATATATAAATCTTACCATTTTTTTATTGATAACATGTCAGAGAACTTATGTTATACCAATAAATTTTCAACAAAGTTTATAATCTTTATTTTTTAAAACTAATGTATGACTTTAATTTGGAGAACATCAATCCTAATAAAATGTTCTTCTAAATCTCTCACAATTATCCAACAAACAGAATATGCAAGAATCAAATGTAGTCTACAAGGAGAAATATCAAAATTGGAATCTAAGTCAGTATTTAAAATACTTAGTGTTTAATCAAGGATGTGAATTTATTCACCAAAATGAATCCTTGTCTTAAATATTAAGAATCATTAGGCAATAAAGACTTTCCTTAAAGGGCTGGGGATGTGGCTCAAGCGGTAGCGCGCTCGCCTGGCATGCGTGCGGCCCGGGTTCAATCCTCAGCACCACATACAAACAAAGATGTTGTGTCTGCCGAAAACTAAAAAATAAACATTAAAGAAATTCTCTCTAAAAAAAAAAAAAAAAAAAGACTTTCCTTAAAGAAAATAAATTTAATATTTTAATAGGTCTTTATCATGTCAAAATATGGACAAAATCTTAGCTCACATCAGCATAATAAAATCAGGGAAATATCCTTGAATTAATCAATTCAAATTTTTATAGTCAGTCCAGTACACATAAATCTCTTTTTCAATTGTTTTAACTTTTTATATCATCTGTCTAGACAATGATATAAAGCTCTTCCTATTTAGGAAATTTTTTTTACCACTAAAATCTGGATTATAAAGATCTTGCTTGGGCTGGGGATATGGCTCAAGCGGTGGCGCACTCGCCTAGCATGCGTGAGGCACTGGGTTCGCTTCTCAGCACCACATACAAATAAAATAAAGATATGTGTCCACCTAAAACGAAAACATAAATACTTAAAAAAATAAAAAATAATATAAAGACCTTGCTTTACCCAAAGGCGACTTCTTTCTTTCCCTTAGGACCTCCAGTGTGTGCTTCCTCTCTGTTAAAGCATCTTCTTTTCCTTTTAGAATTTTTCCTGCTTATACTTTGGAACAGTTTCTGAAAACCTTAGAATATAAACAAATTATTGTATCTTGATAAGAAGAAATGTCTCAATGAAAATATAGTTAAAGCCCTTGGATATTTCTGTAGACAGAATTACATTTGTTTGTCATCTTATAGAGTTTGTATAATAATTTGAGAATTAAAGATTACTTGATCATCTCTTGAAAGTAAATTTGTAGTAAAATACATTTATCTCAAATATCTGTAACAAAAGGCAGAGCATCAGATAAATGCATGTAAAGAAATATATAAATTACGTGTTTTCTGTTGAAGAAAAATGATTAGATAAATATATATTAATTAAACAATTAGACATAGATGCCAATTATTTTATGGATTAACAACTATAGGTTAACCAAACATCTAGAAAAATATGCATTAAGAATAAGGGCAGGTTTGGGGATATGGCTCAAGTGGGAGCGCGCTCCCCTGGCATGCGTGGGGCACTGGGTTCGATCCTCAGCACCACATCAAAGAAAATAAAGATATAGTTTGTCCACCTAAAAAAAACCCTAAAAAGTAAATATTTAAAAAAATAAAATAAAATAAGAGCATAGGACTGGGATGTAGCTTAGTTGGTGGAGTGCTTGCCTCACATGCACAAAGCTCTGGGTTCAATCCCCAGCACCACAAAAATAAATAAAAATAAGGGCATAATTTATAATTGTATTAATTTTATGTAACCACATGATTCTTAAGATATTTGGATCCATTTTAATTTTTCTTGGATTTGTAGCGCACTTTTAAAAATTGTTTTTGTAGCTGTGGATGAACAGGATGCCTTTATTTGTTTCCTTTTTGCGGTGATGAGGATCCAACCCAGTGCCTCATGCGTGCTAGGCAAGCGCTCTGCCACTGAGCCCAGCCGCTGCCCACTAGAAGTGCACTTTTGATACTTGTGATGTCACCTAATAAGGTCCTCGTGTATACACTTACTCATTTCTTGTGATCATACAGCCAGGAGTGAGAATAAGGTTTTCTTGAGTGTCACAGGAACATTACCAGCTTTTGTTCCTCACAACCTTCAAAATCAAAAGCCAGGTATAACGAAGCCTGTGTCTGGTGCCTCTGACAGCCTGCCTCAGTAACACACCTGAGGAGGAAGAGGAGGGGTCCTAAGGGAAGCTGCGAGGGACAGTCAAGCACTTAGCCTTGAGAGCAGGCTGGGCTCAGGGCTGCCCCGTAGAAACCCGGGGAACTAGACTCTGAAAAAGACACCGGAGTCAGTATTCACAGGTGGGCATCATTCAAACACAGGCGCTCAGTAGTTTCCTAGCTGGTCTGTGGGAAGCAGGAAGCACAGGTCAGTGGGAAGAGGAACTGCAAGTTCTGAGTGACAGTGGAAGGACCAATGGGAAGCCCATGGATGTGTGGGAGGCGGGACCGGAAACCGCTCTGCAGGCCCGGCTCCCGCGTGGCCCTGGTGATGGGAACGGCCGGGAGCGGCTGCCCGGAGGCCGGGTCACCGGCTCCTGGAGCTGGTGGCATTCCATTTGACTTGCCAGAGGGCAGTGGCTGGCCTTGTCTCCGTGGCTTGTGTGCATCTGTGTGCTCCCGTCTTTTGTCGTCTCCCTGGCATCAGCAGCAGATGCCAGTGTTAGGACCGCATCGTCAGGCAGTCTGCGCTGGGCACCCGGCCAGGCGGCCTCAGGGTTACTAGCACTGCTGACCCCATAGGGAACAGCCGCTAAAGGCTTTTGTCCCCAGCGGCTGAGTTGCAGCCATTCTGATCTGTAGGACAAGAATGTAACAAAGAGGTTCAGTATAGACCGAGTATTCTCAAAAATAGAAAAATAAAATTCACTTCTCCACAAAGAATCCTTGTATCAAGTCTCATCACAAAATTTCCTTCCCTTTTTCTCACTCTCCAAGCGCAGACTTACAAACCCAAAAAATCCTTACCTAGTATTTCAAAATATGAAGATTCACAAAAACGATCCAAAAGGTCCACAACAGCGCTCTTCCCACGGGAGAGGACTGAACTTAGCAGTATATCCCGTTAATCATCTTAATAATTTTTACATTTATTTCACATTTAGAATTGCAAAAATTTTTTGCAATTTTTTCTAAAGAGAAAATATTCCCAGATATTAAAAAGTTTTAACGTCACAGATTTTTTTTTTCTGTCTAATTCACTTACTTTCTACAATTCAGCCCACAATACTCTGCACGCTTAACTTCTGGAGAGACATTTCCAAACCCACTGATTTCTAAAATTCACCCTGGAGTCCCTGTAGGGGCCATGAAATATAGAGCTACCTTTTTCTTTGGATCCTGTGATGGAGAGAGAGCGAGAGCAAGCACGAGCGAGCTATTGGGGGGAAGCCATTCAAATGAGGCCAGGGGTAGGATCACAAAGGAACTGGCCATGAGTGAGGCTCAACCCCTCTGGGTGCCGCTGGCTCCTAGGACCACGCCATGTTATCCGCATTATCTGAGGGAGGGAAAAGCCGGAGTCCCAGTCCTGGCACTACCCACCAGACTGCAGTGATCTTTCAGATCCCCTGGTGCCTGCATTTGGCAAGGCTCCCCGCAGTCATAGCATATATTGAGGGTTCCTGCGTGTATATTCATAAGGAATACTAGTCTGTACTTTTCTTTCATGACGGTTTGGCCTAGTTTTTGAGCCTCCTAGAATCACAAGCCTCCCCTCATCTTCTTGGCATTGGGACAGTCTCTGTAGAAGTGCTGTTAGTCCTTTACATTTTGGGTAGAATTCACCAGTGAAGTCATCGACTCCTGGGCTTCAATTTGAGGGAAGATTATAGATCACTACATCTCTTCATTCAGAGGTCTACTCAGGTTTCCTGCTCCTTATTGAATTATTAGATTCACGTACCTTTCTAAGGTCGTTTTTAATTGTACCTAGGTGACCTCATCTGTTGACATACAATTGTTCATACCATTTTCTTTCTTTCTTTTTTGGGGGGACGGTGAAAGGTGAGTGACTCACTCAGAGATTCAACCAAGAGATTTTATTGGGGGGCTGCCAGAAGAAGGAGAGGCAGAGAGCAGAGAAGAAGAGAGGAAAAGGGCAGAGAGAGAGAGAGAGAGAGAGAGAGAGAGAGGAGAGAAGGAGGCAGAGAGAGAGAGAGAGAGAGGAGGAGGGCAGAGAGAGAGAGGAGGAGGGCAGAGGGGGGAGGAGGAGGGCAGAGGGGGGAGGAGGAGGGCAGAGAGAGAGAGGAGAGAGAGAGGAGGAGGGCAGAGAGAGAGGGAGAGAGAGAGAGAAGAGAACGAGGCAGAGAGAGAGAGACAGGGAGAGAGAGGGAGAGAGGAGGAGGGCAGAGAGAGAGGGGGAGAGAGAGAGAGAGAGGGAGAGAGAGAGAGAGGGAGAGAGGGAGGGAGAGGAGGAGGGCAGAGAGAGAGGGAGAGAGAGGAGGGAGAGAGGGAGAGGGCATGTGTTTAGAAGCTTGGCTTAAGAAGGAGTGCACTGGTTGCACTGGTTGCACTGGGACATGGCAGGTGCTGATTGGCAGGGTGACTCAGGAACAGCGAGGGGACACTGGGTCCTGTGGGGATTGGTCGAGGAAACCTTTGAATTTGGTGCTCTTGGCTTGGCGCCTTTTGGAGAGGAGGGAAAGGGTAAGGGATTCCATGATGTCCTCTGAGAGGCGGGGTCTCCCACACCCCAACACGGGGGACTGAACCCACAGGTGCTTAACCACCGAGGTACATGCCCAGCCCTGTTGTTGTTGTGGTTGTCGTTGTTATTTTTAACGGGGTCTCACTAAGTTGCTCACAGCCTCCCTAACTTGCTGAGGCCGGCTTTGAACTTATGATCCTCCTGCCTCATCGTCCCAGCTGCTGGGATTACAGGCCATGATATTTTCTTATAATCATTTTTATTTCTGTAAAGTCAATAGTAAAGGTCCCTCTTTCTTTCATGATCTTAGGAATCTGAGTCTTCTCCATTTTTCTTTTGGCTGATCTACCGAAGGTTTTTTGACTCCATTTTTTTTCATAGAATCAACTTTTGGCATCCTGGATTTCTCTCTGCTGTTTCTGTACTCTCTATTTATTTCTGCTCTAAACCTTATTATTTCTATCTTTCTGCTGTTTTTACTTTAGTTTGCTCTTCTTTTCTAATTTCCTAAGGAGAAAGGTCAGGCTATTGACTTAAGGTATTTCTTCTTTTTCCGTGTAGGCGTTTACAGCCATACATTTCCTTCTCTGTTCTTCTTGACTGTATTTCATATGTTTTGGTAGGTTATATTTTTGTTTTTAGATTTCATCTTTGATCCAAGTTTGTTAGGAACATGTTCTTTTTTAAATTCCACATGTGTGTGAATTCCCCAAATTACCATCAGTTTATTGATTTCTAATTTTATTCCATTGTGATCAGACAACAGATTTTGAATTATATCAGCTCTTTAAAATCTATCAAGACTTGTTTTAGCCAGGTGCAGTGGCACATGCCTGTAATCCCAGTGACTTGGCAGGCTGAGGCAGGAGGAGCACAAGTTCAAGGCTATCCTGGGAAATGTAGTGAGACCGTGTCTCAAAAATTAAAAAAAAAAAAAAATTCAGGGATGCAAGATTGGTTCAACATACAGAAGTCAATAAATGTAATACCTCACAGATCCCGAGGAGAGGCCCGCCCTTCACACTGCTGCCTGGAGATATGGAGGAGCGGCCTGTCCTGCACCCAGAGAGCCAGCCACCTCATGCCCATGGAGAGCCACCCTTCACTGGGTTCCTTAGTCACCAAAGCGTGGCTCCACAGCCCAACATCAGGGTACATATAGGCTTGAGGCTGCCATGGCCACAAAACTGGGATATCACTGCTTCTATCAAGGGACAACAATGAGGACCTGGTAAGATGTCACCAAGGTCCCTGTCGGCCTGGCTGCACTAGAGGTTTCTCTACTAGGAGTGCTCACAGCTATCCTGTTGCTGAGGTGACAGGGAGTCTTGCGTGGGGTGGCCTTTCTCTTGTTTCTCCTACTAACAGCCAGCTTCTTGTGATCACCCTCTCACTAGTCATATAATCTGATCCCTCCACATTCCACATCCTACCTCATAAACATCTCAGCCAACCCCCCAGGCCCCCCCTTCCACCATCAGAAACGGTAGACCATGACGCAAACCTATTGACTATCCGGTAGAAGATAACCGAACTCATCATTTCTGATTATAGTGACAAAACTGTAAATGTAAAAACAGAAGGTACAACCAGAGAATTTAAATGTTGTGTTCTTTTTGTGTACGATGAATTGAAATGCATCCTGCTGTTATATATAACTAAGTAGAACAAGTTAAAAAAATGGGGAAAAAGTACATATAGTGATTAGGAAAAAATAAATAAAAAATAAATCTTTTTAAATGACTAGGAATGTAGCTCAGTGTTAGAGTGTCCCTAGGTTGAATCCCCAATACCACATGCACACAAACACACACACACAAGATTCTTTTATGGTATAACATATGATCCATCCTGGAGAAAATTCTACTTGAAAAAGAAACGAGCATTCTTTTGTCATAGGGTGAAATGTTCTGCCGGTATCCGTTAAACCTAACTGACTGATAGAGTTGTTAAGTCTTCTCCTCCCTTGCTGATCTTCTGCTAGTTGTTCTATCCATTATTGAAAGTGTGATATTGAAATAAAATAAAAGTATTGTGTCCAACTACAAATAAAACAAAATATTTTTTAAAAAAGAATATTATTATTGAATTGTCTAAAAAACTTGACACCAAAAAACAAACAACCCAATCATGGGCTAAGGAACTCAACAGACTCTCCTCAGAAGATTTATAAGTGATCAACAAATACATGAAAAAATGTTCAACATCTCTAGTAATTAGAGAATGCAAGTCAAAAGTACTCTAAGATTTCCTCTCACTCCAGTCACAGTGGCAGTTATCAGGGACACAAGCTATAGGCCTGGGGTTGTGGCTCAGCAGTAGAGCGTTCACCTAGCACATGCAGGTGCTGCATTCGATCCTCAGCACCACATAAAAATAAAATAAAGGTATTCTGTCCAACTTCAACTAAAACAAAATATTTTTTTAAAAAAGAATACAAGCATGGGGCTGGGGATGTGGCTCAAGTGGTAGCGCGCTCGCCTGGCATGCGTGCGGCCCGGGTTCGATCCTCAGCACCACATACAAACAAAAATGTTGGTCCGCCGAAAACTAAAAAATAAATATATAAAAAAAAGAATACAAGCAATAATAAATGTGGCAAGGATGTGGGGGAAAGGCACACTCATACATCGCTGGTGGGACTGCAAACTGGTGCAGCCACTATGGAAAGCAGAAAACTTGGAATGCAACCACCATTTGACACAGCTACCCTACTCCTTGGTCTACACCAAAGGACTTAGAATCAGCACA